AGAACAGCCCACAGAAGAAGCCTGAGACTCTGAACAGGACCCAAAGTTGAAGACATAGCGCGTCCTTCATCCCTGTGAGTTGTGCTTTAGCTTTGACCTTTGGAGTTACTCAATTTCTGGGAACATGATGCAATCTCAGGTGAATGGTTATTCACCTTTACCAACACCCAGGAATCATTTCATCCTGGCATTTTCAAAGCCCACTGGCTCTCAAGCCAAAATTTCCAAAGACCCTGATCTCCCCTCTCTGAAGGAATCTCTGATGGGACCCATCAGACCATTTCTGGGCAGCAATGGACAAAGAATGCCAGCCTTGAAGGAAAGGGACTTGTCGAACATCGTACGCGTACTACGCTATGCCTCACACTAAAGGCGGTTCTTGGAACATGGGTGCAACGAATTAAGAGGTTACCAGACAGGCAAAATTAAAAATAAGTTCAATAATCTAATGTATGCAGAGGAGACCTTCAGTACTATGAAGGCTGTCGCGTATCTCCACTTGTTGGTTGGACCACCGTTAGAGACGGTCTTCTTTTGCAGCTCACATGGATGGAATCGAGACAAGTTTATTTTACTCGTTGCTTTCTGTTAAAGCCCTCAGCCTGTCGACCAAGACCACTGTAAACATGGATTGCACTCAGTACTAATCGCCGACAAAGGCTATGAGAGACAGGACGTGTTTTGAAAACTTGAACAGTCCCACTCTAATAGGCAGACCTGATTCCACCTAAATTATTCCTATATGAGCATCTATGTGCGGGAATGATCCACCCTTGGTTTCGGGAAACCTCGGCAGCAGGACGTCTCATGTCATTAGTTTATTCATAGAGGACATCAACTCATGGTAATTAAATTATTGTGATGACCTTAAGTATCTGGCTCAGATCCAAGACAACTGATCTGATTGAGTCCATAAATGTTGGCCAAGCTCCAGAGAACTTTGGATATGACCTCACTCAAGATGGAAGAGAAAAGTGACAGTCGGTTTGGATCTCGGGTCATTAATTTTGAAAGACAGGGCAGCTACAATTGTAGCCTTACTTCAAAAAGGCTCATAAATATAGATCGAATATACTGGTATTTCTGCCGCTAGCAAAAGCTTTCTCTGCGCACACCGATCCTCTCGGAGCTGACAAACTGGGGGCCCATTTGAAGAAGAGTGGGCTATCCAGCTGCAGTTGGATGCTTCTTTATATTGCGTCGAACACATCGCCCAGACATCACATTTAGTGTGCACCAGTGGCACGATTCAGTCACAATCCCAGGCATTCACATGCTCAAGAAATCAAACGTATCATTCGGTATCTATTGGCACAAGTGACAAAGGCATTGTTTTAGCCCTAACTTGATCAGGGACTTGACTGTTGGGTCGATGCTGACTCGCCGGATTGTATGGATATGAGGATGAACAGGATCCTGTGTCCGTCAAGTCTCGCACTGGATTTGTCCTGACTCTGTTTGGGTGCCCTATTATCTGGTCGACAAGCTACAGACTGATATTACTTTGAGCTCACTGCTGCTGAGTATGTTGCCTTCAGCATGTCATGAGGGAGCTGCTTCCTAGCGAGCTTTGCTCAAAGAATTGGTGAGCAAACTGAATATGCCGGGTAATTACTGATAGTCTCGTGCGCTCTCTACAGTGTTCGAAGACAACCAAGGTTGCCTGTCTCTTGTGAATGTTCCCAAAATGTCTGCGCGCAACAAGTATTTGGCATTGAAGTACCACTTCTTCAGGTCCAATATCGGGGAGTCGAAGGGCATCGTGGCTAAGTATATTCCGACTCTGGAACAAAGGCCGACATTTTCACTAAGGGTCTTCGCTCCACAGTTTGCTGTTATTCGGAAGCTCCTCATGGGATGGTAATTTTCCTCAGCACTTTGCTGGACTCTCTCCTATCTTTCTTGCTCCAGCTTCATTTCAGCTGTAAGGGAGTGCGACGGGATACAGCTTACAATTAGTTTACAGCTTTACAATTAGCAGGCTTATTCTAGAAATAATCAATAACTGCTCACTTATTTGGAAATACAAACTTTACATCTCTTAGATCGTTAGATTAATCAGTACACAATGGTATTGTCGCACTGATGACATCCAAAAAAGGATTGTTCCTGCCGAGCAACCTTTCCCCTTTCAACCTCTCAACTCTGGAGACCCGTATTACAAGTTTACGTCGCCTGGCGGCTTGAACATGGCCAACCGAAAAACCAGTGGGCAGATCCAATCCCTCAGCCAGCCATTGTATACATCGGCCGGAAACTTGAGGGAGCAAATTGGGCAGCAAGCGGTCGCCATTGCGAAACTTTATAGGCATATTTATGACGAGACCACACAAAAGTCTCGAGGGGACGTCATGACCTTCCCCAGAAACTACCAGGATTGGGAGTTCAAAAATATCTTGTCGGAATCTGCATTCAATTACTTTCAAGCCGATGAGGCCATCCGCATGATTCAATTTGGGCTGGACGGGAGGACACCTAACTACCAACCGAAGGGGGGCTTTTTGAGTTCCTGTAAACGTTACTTGTATGATGCGATTGGGCTGGGGCTCTCGGAAGCAGGATACCTTCCCGACCGCTCTGACGGCTGTATCCAAGACGACGAAGTTGAGGAAGCCGCTGAAAATGCTATGGATCAACTCATCAAACCATACTTGAACCTGTTCAAAGCAGTTCAGAAAGGATACGACCTAGTCTTTGGCGACAAAACGTATGCATTGGGTCGTTTCCCGTGCCAGCAGCAGTGTTCTGTGCATGTGTTTCAAAACTCAATCTTCTCTTTGCTGTTTCCAATCCCCGTTCATTTGAAGGTCCATGGGATTCCTTTGTGGAATGAGTGAGATTATCAAGAAGAAAGGATACAGCAAGTGGCCCGGAACTTGCTGTTTGAGCGCCCCGTTCGAAAATGTGGATGGCACTTGGGGTCGCAATGTAAGCATTCCCGGAACGTCCAGACCCTGTCGGGTACATTGATGTCTGCTGGATATAAACTCACTTACTTGCTGCTTCTTGGCTCTCAGCATGATTGTAACACGCAATGTCAAGTCCCCGGTCCAGTGCTGGCTGGGTTGAGCGAGGAGTCGTGCTCTGCAAATGGCGGCACGTGGTGCCCCCGCCCAGCTGATTGCAGGATCCTTCAGGAGTGTCTACAGTCTGCTTATGACGACGCAGAGGCCAATGGGAAGCTCGCATTTGCCCTGTAAGTGATATGTGCGTTTGCACGGCTGCACTCCGACTGAAGGCTGTCTCATTGAACCAAAACTTTGCAGCTACCTGGAACCAGGCTTGGTGGAGGATCCGCTTAACTTTGGAAACTGCTCTCATTCACGCGAGTACTTTGGGTATGACGAGCTGTACACGAACGGTGAGGACGTCTGCGAGAACGTTTTGCAGCTCCACAACAACGAGAACTTTGCCTTCTTGGATGAATTCTTCAACCAAGGAAGCGGTGTTACTAGCGGGTGTGGTGGCAATGTCGAGTTTGAGGCTCTGAAACCTCCAGATCGATGTAAGTTAGGAAGAGCAACCTCCAACTAGGATGGTAACGGCAATGTCACCTTACGCTGGATGGACTCCCTTCGCTTGCTGTTTCTTTTCCAAAGCCCGGTCTGAATCCACTGGGGTTCAGACAGGCGAGAAATGGGAAAAGGCAGATTTCAGCATGAATGTGATTATGGATACAACGGAGGCGCTAATGGAAGCAGCAGCAGCAATCAAGTGTCCGGACGATGTGACGGGTGCAGCCCAAACATCGTGTGCAGCCATGTTGAATGTCTACTATCCTGTCATTCAAATTGTCTACACGGCAATTCGTGCCGTAAGTGATTGAACTTGCCCTTGCTGTTGGCATTGCGAACATACACTCGATTCTAACCTTCGATCGTTTGATGCAATTTGTTCACGTGTAGACGTTTGCGATCTCTGCTTTTACTCGTGAAAATCTTGCTGAAGAATCCTATGAGGAAGCCATGGTTTCCGTTGAGGATATTTCTGCAGTCTATGACAACATGGAAGCGATGAATGGGAACTTGGAGAAGTTGTACAATGGCCTCAATACCGAGATCCAAACCCAGTGCGGTTCCCGTCGTAGGCAGCTCGCCGATTTGTCAGGTGCAGATGACGAGCTGGATGTGGGCGCAGAGTTGTTGGCCTTGAAGAGGCAGAATGAAGCAATGGCTTCAGAAGCGTCTGCACTCAATTCCAAGCTGGATGATGTGAATTCCAAGCTGGATATGCAGCAGAAGCAGATGACTTTGTTGCAGAACATGCTTCAGGATGTGATGATTGCAGTGAAGAAAGGAGAGGGAGTCACACCCGAGGCCGAGGCTCGAGTCAGCTACTAGATGTGAACACTGGCAGGTGACGAACGACTTGCGGTGCGGGCTCCGGCAATGGACTTCGACTTCGGTGGTGGTTGGCCTACCGGTATCTGAACCTGACTCCCTGTCCTCATTCGTGCATAAAATATCTTTGTGGACTGGTACCAGAACATGTAAATAGATCCGCGACCGCTCTTTTTAATCAACTGCATACCAGCTGGCTAGCTACATGTACTAGCTAGCTTGTAGTAATATAAGGGACAGCCATACATACCGGTACCGGTACCGGTATGCATAATACCTGAGGGTATTATTCTACTAGCTAGCTACCTGTAGCCACGGTACCGGTACCGGTAGCGGGTGGCACCAGATATAGGTTCCAGCGTTGACCATGTCCGGTGACTATGTTGCCAGTCGCAAATACTACCGGTGCGGCACCGGATCCGCACCCCCAAATTCCGAAGCTTTACTGTAGGTACCGGTACCGGTACGTGCCCAACACATGTAAGTGCCTCAAGTTGGGGCACCTCGAAGCATACGACTGTAACGAGACTGCACACATAAGACGATGCCGTACGGTCTCTCCTCTGTGCTCAGATCATGCTAATTGGGATGCCGTCGCCATCGTGTAGGTCGGATATCGGATTGACTCGAGCGAGCGAGTTATCAGTTTGACGCTAGCGTTCTCGCTTCGAGTCGAGTCACATGCATTTCTTTGCTTCAGTGGTGAGGTCTTCAGCCAATTGTCAATCAAACAATCAATGATGAGATACTTTTTACCTTGCCTCTTGCCTTGCTTTGTTGCGAAACGTAACAACTTCTTTTCAACAAGCGAACCGCCGCTGCTGAGAAGCCCATCACCTTTTCACTTTCCTGCTTGACATCAAACCTGTGCTCTGGCAACTGTGGTGTCGTACACCTAGCTAGCTAGCTAGATAGATATCCAAACGACTGTCAATCAGAGACATTTTCCAAAACCTATCCTGCTCGGTGCGCGAAGCCTGATGGCGCAACAGAAACCTGCCCCAGTCCCCGCAAGCCAAACCAACAAGCAAAGCAAAGCAAAGCAAAGCAAAGCAAAGCAAAGCAAAGCAAAGCAAAGCAAAGCAAAGCAAAGCGAACGAACCACCGGCACCAAAGTGATACCGGTATGCTATGGCAACTTGGAGCTGAACAAGATAGACCTACATAGTCTAGCTACCGGTACTAGCTAGCCTTTGACGATTTACAGCTGTCCTTTTGCTCGTCATTGGGCTCCGCTCAGGCACGGTCCTAACCAGCTATTTATACCCCTTTATTCCTCCCTTCGTTCGTGAAATCAATTTAACTGTTAAAATCGGCTTGCTTTCACTCCATTTCCACGAAAGCTGCGGTACGGCGAACCATTGATTTCCCATTCTCAATTCGCCGTACCGTAGCTTTCGTGGAAATGGATTTCGCGTAGGACCAATCAAAACGTTAGAGCCAGCCGAACTAGTCACGGTCACAATTCTTCAACTCTATTCTGCCAGTTCGGCGACTGAGTGTTGTTCCAAGAAGTTCTTTATGTTGTCCCAAGAAGTTCTTTATGTTGTTCCAAGAAGTTCTTTATTGAGTGTGGTACTCACACGGTATTCACGGTTGGCCATTTACGTGCGAACCACTGTATGTGGATAGGAATGAAATCTTGATTCGTACAACTAAAAAAATCGACGAAAATAAATGTGTTTCGCGAATGCACGGAGGACACACATGGAGAATGGATAGGACCTCGCCTCAGCTGGCCTTTCTTTACTGGGCTTGGGCTCGTCCTTGTGCTTCGCGAAGCAATCCTGCAGCACTTTGGGGCTCCGCCCGCGAGAGATCGACGAGTGTTTTGCTGCCGGTAGCTTTTGGGATTCTCATCTCCCAACTTCGCAACCAAGTTGAGAACATCGAATCCGCGACCAACATTCAATCGTACTTAAGACCGGCTTTCATTGGACCAGCTCTGCCGGAAGCTGGCACTGCTATTCTTTGCCACCACAAAGGATTGCATCCATGTCCCTACATCAGCTGCCCGCCACAGTGCCTCCTGCTTCCTCCCTTTTACCACAAAAAGGTTTCCGGCACCACATTTTGCTTCTGAGAATCGAATCCACAAGCAGAATCCAAAGCTACCGGCCATCAATAATATCCCATCAAACAAATAATAGATCAAAAGGTAAATCAACAGGATACCCTCATTATCTATTTTCCTGGCCTTTTGAAAGCAGAGTAGTTGATCCTCACTTTCACAAATCTTCCCCAACCAGGAATAATTTAGTATCGAACCAAAAATGTTGGCTCCCAGTCAGCTCTGTGCCGCCTTTTGGCTGGCATTCTCCATTAACTCGGCATCTACCTTTCTACCAAGACCATCATTGGTCAGCCCCAGCAAAATTTCCTCTTCTGCGCTTGAAGCCGAAAAGAAGAAAGTTGTGGTGGTTGGAAATGGTATGGTGGGTCAGCGTTTCATGGAAAATCTCCTCAAGATTGACACAGACAAGCAATGCCAGATTGCCACCTTTTGTGAAGAGCCTCGTGCTGCATACAACCGTGTCAAGTTGACTTCTTACTTTGAAACTCGTGACCCTTCAGCTCTGTCCATGACATCCGAGTTCGATGAAGGAGGTCGCACTGTCTGGTACGATGAGAATGGTGTCGAATTGTTGCTCAATGATAAAGCCGTTGCTGTCGATACCGAAGCCAAGACTGTCACTGGTGCTTCTGGAAAAACAATCCCCTATGATGTTTGTGTCATGGCCACGGGAAGTTTCCCATTTGTGCCACCCATTCCTGGAAAACAAAGACCTGGTGTCTTTGTCTACAGAACCATTGAGGACTTGGAGGCAATGCTCGCATACGCCAAGGAACACAATGTCCAAAGTGCCGCTGTCATTGGAGGTGGTCTTCTGGGTCTGGAAGCTGCCAAGGCTGTCAAGGACATGGGTGTCAAATCTCACATTATTGAATTTGCTCCCATTCTCATGTGCCGCCAAATTGACCAAGGAGGACACGATGCCCTTGTGGGAACAATTGAAGAAATGGGTCTAGAAGTTCACTGCAATGCTCGCACAGAGTCCTTTGTTGGAGAAGATGGTTCCACCGATCATGAATCCGACTCACCTGTGTCAGCTCTTCGATTCAGCAATGAGGACTGGGATGATTTGCCGGTCCAAATGGTCGTTGTCAGCTGTGGTATCAAGCCTCGTGATGAATTGGCCCGCAGTGATACCTCCAAAATGGATGTTGGTGAACGCGGTGGAATTGTGGTCGATGACCAGCTGCGAACTACCGCCGATGGAGTTTATGCCATTGGAGAAATTGCTCTCCACAAGAATTTTATCTACGGTCTCATTGCACCTGGTAAGATCCACTTTTTGGCTTGAAAAGTTGTTTCCTTTTTTTATTTTGTTTTCTTACTCATTGTGGCCATCCAACAATTTTTTCCTTCCAGGTTATGTCCATGCCGGAGTTGCTGCTGAATGTGTTGCACAAGACCTCGGTATCAAGACCATTGAGGGCGACTTGCCTGCCTTTACTGGTGCTGATATGTCCACCAAATTGAAGCTCTTGGGATGTGATGTTGCTTCCTTTGGAGTCAACCAGCCCAAGCCTGATGATGAGGATGTCACTGAAATGGTCTGGAACGACCCTATTGCACAAGTCTACCGCAAGCTTATCTTCAACAAGGCTGGAACCAAACTTCGTGGTGGAATCCTAGTGGGAGACGCCTCTGACTACGCCACTCTGCACAAGTTGGCACTCACTGATGAATTGGACCTTCCCGAGAACCCTGGAACGCTTTTGCCACCCCCTTCGGCGCGCATGGGAGAAATTGTTGAAGCTGGTCCCTCCACTGACCCCGCTGCTCAAATCTGCTCTTGTAACGATGTCACCCGTGGACAGATCACCGAAGTCATCCATGAACTTGGCGTAGATGGAGCCACCTTGGGAGCCGTCAAAAAATGCTCTCAGGCTGGAACTGGATGCGGTGGATGTGAACCTGATGTCAAGAAAATTTTGGCACAAGAGCTCGAGAACATGGGAGGAAGCCTCTCCAACAACTTGTGCGAGCACTTCGACTATGCCCGTGCAGAACTCATGGCCCTAGTCCGAACTGATGCCGATCCATCCTCAGTTGATTCTTTCGAAAAAATCTTGGCCAAGCACGGACACGGTGATGGATGTGAAGTGTGCAAGCCCGCCGTTGGTTCCATGTTGGCATCTCTCTACAATGATGTCATCATTGACGACGGCCGCAACGCCCTGCAAGACACCAACGACCGTAGTATGGCCAACATGCAACGCGGAGGATCCTACTCTGTTGTTCCCCGTGTTCCTGGTGGAGAACTCTCTCCTGATCAACTCATTGTTATGGGAGAAGTTGCCAAGGAATTCAACCTCTACACAAAGATTACCGGAGCCCAGCGTGTGGATCTCTTTGGCGCTGCCAAGTACCAGCTTCCCGACATTTGGGAAAAGTTGGGCGAAGCAGGATTGGAGTCTGGACACGCCTACGGTAAGGCTCTCCGTACTGTCAAGTCCTGTGTTGGATCCACATGGTGCCGATATGGAGTTCAGGATTCGGTCTCCTTTGCAGTCCGTGTCGAGAACCGATACAAGGGTGTGCGATCTCCCCACAAGATGAAGAGTGCCGTGTCTGGATGCACCCGTGAATGTGCCGAAGCGCAATCAAAGGATTTCGGCATGATTGCGACCGAAAACGGATACAACTTGTACCTTGGTGGAAATGGCGGAACCAACCCAGTCCACGCGCAGCTGTTTGCTACTGACATTGATGAAGACACCGTCTTGAGATACTTGGACAGATACCTCATGTATTACATTCTCACAGCTGACCGATTGGAACGTACAGCCCCATGGCAAGCCAAGTTGCCTTCCGGAAAGAACGGCGGTGGCCCCATTGAGCACTTGAAGGAGGTTATCATTGAAGACTCTCTTGGAATTTGCGATGAATTGGACAGTCGCATGCAACACTTGGTTGACACTTACCATGATGAATGGGTGAGTTTGGCTTGGTCGGGCTTCATTATTTTGCATGAATGACATTGTCGTCTCACTTTTCGCGCATGCATTGTGTTTTTTGTAGGCTGAGGTTGTCAAGGACCCCGCAAGGCGCGCTCAGTTCAAGCAATTCGTCAACACTGACGAGAACATTCCCAAGGACTCCATGATTGAATTTGTTGACATTCGTGGCCAGTTGCGCCCTGCTGACTGGCCCAAGGACGGCCAACCACAAACCATGTGGAAGCCTCCTGCCGATGATGTCTTTGCCAACTCACCAAAGTCTTGGGTCAAGGTCGGAAAGACCAGCGAATTTTTGCCCAATGTTGGTTCCCCCATCCTTTACGGAGAGACCCAACTTGCTGTCTTCAACAACGTGCAACGTGGAGAATGGTACTGCACACAAAACATGTGCCCACACAAGCAGGCGTTTGTATTGTCCCAGGGTATCATGGGAGATGCTGCTGGAACCCCCAAGGTTGCCTGCCCCTTGCACAAGAAGCAATTCGACCTGGAGAACGGCCAGGAACTTGGAGGAGAGTTGTCCATCACTATCTTCCAGATCAAGATTGAAGGCGACGACGTTTTGGTAGAGCTGCCATCGGAGGAAGAAGTCGATGCCATTCTGGGAACCAGCGGGCTTCGTGTGGAAAAGTCCGACTGTGTGGATCTTGCAGCCGATGCCTTGAAGGTCCCTACGCGAGATGTGTCCAAGCTGTCTGGTTCATCCAGCTCGAGCCGATCTGGTACAACCGTGCTCAACGCCAAGGCTGGAAACAGCACAGATGTGGAGCCATCCGACTGAAAGATGGATGTGCGTTCGTAGATTTAGAAGAAGGAATGGATGCCAGGGCTGCCATCCAAACGTTCCTGCCTGTCCTGAATTCGTGGCAGGACGCCGATATATAGATAATCTGTATTAGCGAAAAATACTGTCCTGTAAACTGTTGCAGTTGGAGGAGGTGAACCGTCTAGCTAGTACGCTGCCATTATCACTATAGCTAGCTAGGTTGTGGAAACGATGGCGTGCCTGCTTCCGAGTTTGTGGGCATCAATGATGTGAAGGCTAAGAAGATGAAACATTAGACTAGTAATGGCTCCTGGAGCAGGTATGATATGCCTCCATGGTTCTCTCTTTCCTGCTACCACAATGAGCTCCCGGCATCGGAACGATTGTTGGGCTCTTATCTCTACCACGGCTTGTCTTTGTCTTTCCACCACCCCCCACCATGCATTCCTTGGCCCCATTGAGATTCTTCTTTGCCTCGGCCTTTTCGCTCCTGGTTGTGCTTGCGCTCCTGCACTGCTGCAATCCACCCCTGGCCTCCACTCCCACCCATAGGCCAACTAACCCACGGTAACCTTTTGGTCTCTTTGTCTGCGCATTGAGACAAAAAAGCGGCGATAAATGCGGTAGCTTCAACAATGACGAGCGTCAGCGTCCTCTCAAAAGATACTGGTAGATGCGGTGTGCGTCCAATGTGGTGTTGGCGCCCATCAACACAATTGCTACTAGCTAGCTACCGCTGGCATTGCCCAAATAGTAACATAGCTACCCATGCAAAAAGGTCCACAACAGAATCAATCGAATAGAAGCTATACTATAAGCTACTAAAGATGGCGACCACTCCCAACAACGAATCGGCAGCGCCACAAAATTTGCCGACAGCCGTGGAGTTTGAACCACCTCTTGCCTGCGTAAGACGCATTCTCAAGACGACCCTTCCAGCATCGACCAACGTGGGCAAAGACGCATCCGCTGCATTTGCTCGTTCGGCGGGGATCTTTATCATTTACTTGACCGCCTGTGCCAATGACTTTGCTCGAGAGAATCGACGACAAACCATCACGGCCAATGATGTCTTGGCGGCGTGCAAGGTGAGTCTTCTATTTTGTTTTTAAAGAATGAGGTGGAGTGCTGTCATTGCTTACACCCTCATCTATTTAATTTATTTGTTGTTACTGTATCGTAGGAACTAGACTTTGAAGAATTCACACCCAAATTGGAGGAATTTTTGGAATCGTACCGAGCCAATGAAAAGAGAAAGAAAGACGCCAAAGCCAAGGCTGCCTCTGTGAAGGCCATGGACGAAAGCAGCAAACCCGCTACACCACAATCTACGGCCAGCGTCAATAATCCACCACGACAGGAAAAGGACGACGAGAGTACGGAAGAAGAAGTCGCCACGGAAGAAGAAGACAATGCGGAAGAGGACCATACAGCAGCCGCTGAACCACCCAGCAAGAAACAAAAAATGGACGAGGGAGAAGAATAAACATGACAACAAACAACAATATACACAAATGACAAACCATCTGCATTCAATGGAGATCAACTGACAATGCATTATCCCTGATGTGGGCTATTAGCTCTTTTCTACAGTATTTACTTGCTAGACTTTGGGTGGGTATTTATTAATAAGATATTTCAAGTACATGTAGAAGATGTGCCTTGAACGGGAATGGGATACCGAGAACTATAACAGTGCTGGTTATTATGCGACTAAGTTGCGTAATAATGAGCATCCTAAATTGCATCTCCTCGGTGCTGTAGCGTGCGTGGTTGGATATTGTCGATGGTGCGAGATTTCTTATTAGCCGCCAGCTGGCCTTTCATTGTTTCTAAGAGCAATATCGTTGCAGAAGTACGTACCATATGAGCCACTCCAACCATGCAAAAGAAGCCAACGAACGGCACGTGGGATCCAGGATAGCAAATAAATGACAAGCAACTGAAAATCCAATCCAATCCTACTTCAGTAATTGGCCCACTTGGCTGCCTACCGTAGCTGTAAACAAACTGACTAGCGACCGGCCCTCTATAACTTGTAGCTATCATTTTGGACATGACCAGCATTGCATCAGTTGCTTGTTTGCTTGCTTGGATACCGGTACAGGATTCGATTCGATTCCATTTACTATTCAATACTGCGGCATGGTATTGTCAATTTCCTTTCGCCATCTCATGATGCCTCCATCCATATTGTAGAGTCGATCGGCATCTACTCCTTGTTCAATCAATCGATGGCAGGCCTTTTTGCCTCTGACCCCGGCTTTGCAATAGACCAGTACATCACCCTCGGCAGGAATGTCGGTGATTTGGACGGTCCGATGGGGCGCGACACGGTCCGTAAAGGGAAGTGCGACAATATCATTTTCCGTTTGTAATCGAACGTCCAAAACCCACGGGGACCAACCATTGACCAACTTTTCCATGCATTGTTTGGGTTCCAAATTCTGAAAGGATGACGCCGCAGTAGTAGCAATATCGCCCTCGGCTTCGTCCATGGTTCGTCCTCCTTGTTTTGTTTCTTCTTTCGTTGGGGCTGTTGCAACTTTGGGTCCCGCACAGAATCCTTGATAATCAATCAATTCGGTAATGGGTTCCCGATCGTCCGCTCGTTGGAGTCCTATTTCACTAAACTTCATGGCCATGGCATCAAATACCAGTACGCGGCCACTGAGGAGTCCTTCTTTGCGTCCCAGTATATACTTGATGGCTTCGGTCGCTTGCAAACATCCCATGGAACCCGGTAGGACCCCCAACACTCCTCCTTCGGCACACGAGGGGACATCCCCCGGAGGTGGTGGCGTGGGGAGTAAATCCCGATAGGTGGGTCCGGTATTGTCCAGATTGAAAAACGACAATTGTCCTTCAAAGGCCAAAATGGCGGAATAGACCCATGGCAATCCCATAATTTCGCAGGCATCCGAAATGAGATATTTGGTGGGAAAGTTGTCGCTTCCGTCAATGACGATATCGTAGTTTTGCTCGTTGGAAAATCCCTCTTGCAGGATTCTCATGGCCGTTTGCGAAGTGAATTCTTCTTCGTACATTCTCACTTGTACCAATGGATTGATATCGAGAATGCGTTGTCGTGCCGATTCACATTTGGAGACTCCTACGGTCGAAGTTCCATGAATGATTTGTCGTTGTAGATTGGAGTGATCAACGACATCGGCATCGACAATGCCAATGTGTCCCACACCGGCCGCCGCCAAGTAGAGGAGACAGGGAGATCCCAATCCACCGGCACCGACCACCAGCACACTGGCCGCTTTTAATGCCTTTTGTCCCTCCATTCCGACATCCCCCAGTACCAAATGACGAGAATAACGAGATATTTCATCGTTGGTCAAATCGGGGAGTGCCCATACTCTTGTGTTGGGGGAATGGTGATGTTGTTGTCTGGATACCCTTTGCGAAACGGGCAAAAATCCAACCGTCAGGGTGGGACCCAAGAGGAACAGCGACAGGATGACACGGGTCGAGATCTTCATGGTGGAGCGCAACAATCAATAAGTTAATCTATAGAAGCGGTACGGTAGATATCTATTGAGTGCTACCCGCAACAATAGTCAACTAGCCTAATTGTGAAATCCGAAAAGATTGTCGTCGGTTGTTGGATAGATCTTCTTCGGACTGACGACTGACGTACAGTACATGCACAATGTTTGACACCAACATGACTGAATGTCTCGTGATTGAAGGAGCGCCACCAAAACCACTCTTCTTTCTTCTCCCCTCCCATTTTCTTTCTTCCTTCCATTTTCTTCCACTCTCTCTGGTTTCTCATCACCGTATCGTTTGCTCTGACCATGACGGGAACAACCACAACAACGACACCCCCCTCCGCTTCCAACAAAATGACCAAGCATAACAAGAAACGAGGACCCAAGCCCAAGATGACCAAGGAAGAACGGCGCGCCAAATACACGCAATTGGCGCGAGATCGAGAAACCCGTCGGCGCAAAAAGCTCCAACACGCAAATGTCATTTGTTACAATTGTCGAGAACGAGGCCATGCCGTGGCCGATTGTCCCAATAACACTGGAGAACGCAAGAAGACCCAATCGACTATTTGTTTCAAGTGCGGATCGACCGAACATTCCCTCAGTCAGTGTCCCAAACGACAAAACAGCAACAGTAGTGATCTTCCCTTTTGCCATTGCTTTATTTGTCATCAAACGGGACACCTCAGTTCCAAATGTCCACAAAATGAAAAGGGAATCTTTGTCAATGGGGGAGCTTGTAAAAAGTGTGGATCCAAGCAACACACGTCGAAACAGTGTCCCGAGAATCAAGACAACAACAACAAGAAAAAGGAGAAATCCGTCACGGGACTACCCGAAATAAATCCACAATCGTTAATGGAAGGGAAAGGGGATGATTTGGCCGGAATTAGTGAGGAACCAACAACAACCACTGATACTACGGACAAGCCAGAAAAGAAGCAACAAAAGAAGAAACGGCGCGTGGTCAAGTTTTAACCTAGAGAGGGCTCATTGAACTAAGAACATTCAGGATGATCCCTCTGCTCACTCCGAGACAAGCTTGAAATGTCCATCATGGACTAGATGGAGACGACCGTTGATACTTTCCTTTTAGACTGAAATATTAGAAGAAGTGCCAATAGAAGAACAAAACAAGAGACGCCCAAGGGAAGAAGCTGGTTGCTGGCAAGAGAAATGCTACAACTATCAAGCAAAGCTTCTGTTCTGTTGTTGCAGGCCACACAAAGTCGAAAGACAACAGCACACGCATGGTACCGATAGAAGTATACAATGTACCGTAGCGGAAATGCCTCTTCCCTCAAGCATGTACTCAGAATCTCCTCCAATGGGGCTTTGCTGATACGAACTAACTGTGTGCCTCTTGTGGTCCTGTTGTTCTTATGCTTTACATTGACTTTGCTAAACGAATTATTCTAAATTGCGAGGATGGTCGTTTTACGTGCTTGACACTCCCACTACGGTGCAGTACCGGGACCGGAACGACTGTACCGGTACCAGTGCGGCATTTCGAAACGTAGATAGAGAGCTTCGTCCGAATTCTGCCCCGCAAGTTGGCTGCGGATTGGACAGATACCATCGAAGATCATCTTCTCTTTGTGAAACACGGCTACTCACGCAGCTTGCGTAGATCACCAAGGATCTGAAACTTGGTTTCGTCGTCCAGCTCGTTAGTCCAGCCAACGTATTGATCCTCGGGAAGGTCTTCTCCACGTGTCAAAGCCTTCTCCAGCCAAAAGATCGCCATGTATTTGCTTCGGGGAGTGCCCAGTCCCATCATGTACTGAAATCCTAAATAGTACGCCGCGGTGACTGACCCTGCTTCCGCAGCAGCACAATTCACTTCAAAGGCTCTTTTGTGGTTTTTCTCCTTTTCGAATTTGAAAATGCCAAGGCCAATACCGGTAAGAAGCCGTGCTCCGAGTTTCTCTGATGCATAGAGACAGCCAGCGCTATGTGCCTTTTCTAGCCATCCTAAACCTGAACATGCATCTTTGTGGCAGTCAAAGGAAAAGTTGACTAGCTCTAGCATGGCGCCCACGTCGCCTTTCTTGGCCCGAGATACTAGACCAGCTTTCCAAAAGAAATGATTGTTTCTCCATGCCTTGACCATCTCGTCGTTCCTGTCGAGGGTGCCATTGAAAATGAGCTTGACAATTAGATAGTAGCGTTCCTTGCAGTATTCGAGGCGATCGCTCATTCGCTCGGTCGTGACGGGAGACCGAATTGTTCCGTGACCAGCTGCTCTACAGTTCTCAAAATATTGTTCGATGACATGTTTTTCGTAGACACGGCCATCGTCTGCCTTGACAGGAAATTGTGGGAGAGATAGCGAAATGGGACAAAGGAGCCAGTGATGCTCGTTTCTGCCCCCTGCGTAGTGGTCATCGTTGCCGGGCTCTTCATCGTCGTCGTTGCCACGCTCGTCGTTGCCGCTGTTCGACCGAGACTCGTCTACTTCTTCATCATCTTCTTCTTCTTCGTCGTCGTCGTCGTTTCCGCCCTCTGCGCCGTTGTCATCGATTGGCTCTTGTCCGTCGTCGTTGTGGCTCTCGTCGTCTTTCCCACTCTCGTCGTTGCCACTACTGTTCGATCGAGACTCGTCTTCTTCGTCATCGTCGTCGCTTCCGCCCTCTGCTTGGTCGTCGTTGCCTGGCTCTTCATCGTCGTCCTCGCCACGCTCGTTGTCATTGCCAGGCTCTTCATCGTCGTCGTTGCAACTGCTCGACCGAGCACTTGGAGACTCGCGTCCTTCATCTTCATTTCCGTCACCAGCTATTTGATTGTGATCTTGAGCGTTGTTGTTGTCGTCTACAGGTTGTAGGACCGCGCTTCATCATCGACGCCGTTGCAAGAAACGAGCATCCGTGCCGATCCTGGGTTTGTGTGCTTGGTCCGCAGGACTCCAGTAGCTTGCAGGACAACAACAGCATGCAGTACAACGAATGCAAAGGGGAGTAGAAGACTTTCAATGGGGTCCCTCGAGTGAGAAGAGTTCAATACTAAGAGCAACAAGAACATGGCAAGGAAAGAGAAAAATGAGACCGGAAACAAGGCGAGATCGAGCCCAAAGCTCCGACTGTTAACGTTCGTTTGTAACCATTTCTGTTGGCTTTTAAAGATAAAAAGAAAACCACACTTGCCCCAAAGTCGTGCCAGACAAAAGCAAATCCAGTACACTCAGTTCCAGTCGAAAATCAAAGTCGAATGCCATCATCACCGCTACCTGTGTTGAAGCGGTCGACAAAGTAGAGCTTGATAACACATTAGAGGGAGCCATCAACAGCATCCAAGCCTCTGTTGCTACACAGAGGCACCCCTGGACGTTCGTTCAATTCATTGGCTCACTTTAGTTAGAAGGAGGTGACGGCGTTGACCTTATTTCGCCCAATTTTTTAAATTCCTTTTTTCTTTTCTTTCTTTGGCAGCTGAAGCAGCAAGTCATGATGTGTCAGTAAAAAAGTCGGTTGACACACAGTAGACAACAAGAGCATTGGGCGGTACGGTGGCTTCGGCTGACCTGCAGGGAGGAGAAAATTTGTAAAAAGTCAAGCTCCATCATCATCATGATGAACGCCAAAGCCTCTAATTTCGATCCTTATCGGGGAGGACACCCTCCACCCAATCCATATGGCACTTCGACCACCACCACAGCTACTACTACTACTACCACTACAGCCTATTATGACGCTTCCGCGGCTTACCAAGTCCACCAGCAGCCGCCACAGCAAAGATACCCAGCCGACAATCCTTACGCCGTGTATGATACGGGCGGAATGGCCGCTGCTGTCTATCCTGGAACCGAAAATGGATATTATACCCAACAACAACAACCACATCAGCAGCAGCAGCAGCCGGCATTGGATCCTTCTTCTGCCGGGGCATACTGGAACGGTGGACCCGAAGTACAGACGCAAGATCCTGCTGTGCTTGCCCGGACGACCGAACCAGGACAATATTACCGTCTGGCTTCTCCCATCATACTACCCCAATGGGGAACCGCTCCTGTCACTGCATTGGCATATGACGAGACATACTCGGCCATGTATGTTGCCAGTGCCACATTTTCCAATGGCAGCAGAAATCCATCTACGAGGTGGAAAGTGACACCAGAACAAGCTTGTTATGATAGATCGTCCATGCTGGCAGTTCACAGTACCAATAAAGTAGATGAAGGGATGGTATACGCATCGGTGGCAGGTCACCCCGAAGCCTCTCGAAATACATTGATGGATGTTTACTCCTGTCTCTATGGCTTTGCCGGGATTTCCACTTGCAATGGGAAAAATAACAAGAACAACAGCAACAACAAACAGCCACCATCTTCACCCAAACGACCCGGGCATGCCCATCACATTCCCTCACACGCCTACAAACCTGTCTATGGCAGAACCAATTCATCCACACCCGGTATGGACCTTGCTACAGCCATGGCAGGAGGAGCCTTTGCAGCGGGAAAGAATACATTTCATATGGGAATCACGACACTGTTGCCAATGGCTGGCTCGGTGGCATCGGTGTCTCCGTCAGCGGTCAGGGTTCATGCGAATGGGGGACTCCAATTGGCCGATCAGGCAGTGGAAGGAATGCTGTGTGGCACGGTGCATCCACAACAACAACAGCAGCGCAATTCGCACATTGCCGTGGGTGGAATCTCGGTCAATAATGGTGGTGGTGGTGCCCACGTATACTGTTTGGATCTGTGGCGAGGCCTACACATTGTGACATCCAGAAAAATACAGGACACGGATGATGCATTCGGGGTTACTGCCATGGCAATGAGCCACAAGCGGGGATCGATTGTTGCAGGATGCTCGGATGGGAATATCCGTTTCCTGGATGGTTCCTTGCGAGAGGTGGCCAAAATTCGTGGGCATGCCAGTTGTGTGAATGATATTGCCGTCTCGGAGGATGGAACGTTGATTGCCACTACAGGGTATGGCTATCGACCGACCAAGAGCACGTCGCTTTATTCGTTTCCCGAGCCAAACATTCTGCTGTTTGATATTCGTTTCCTAGGTAAGTTACGGCGGACTGCTGAAACTCCACATACATGATGCAAGCAGATTCGATTCTTTTTGTGTTCTTACGAGTCTCTTTCGTTTTGATGTGCGGAGGCCGAGGGGGGATTGCACATTCATTTTCAGGGCTGAACGGTGGTCCTAGATTCGTCTCCTTCATCCCATCAGTCTCAGATGATCCATCGCCGGGGCGGCTTCTCGTGGCAAGTGGACAAAGTGGAGGGGGCATGCAGATCATTGTACCTTTCGAACCATCACAAAACGACATTCCTGCCAACTTTATGCTACCACAATTGGATAGAGGTGAGGCGATTAGCTCCATGGTTGTTTCTGAAGACAACCTTGCGCTGGGGACGTCACAGTGTCGGGTGTTGCAATACAAAATGGCGGGATATGACAGTTCCACACGCAACATGTCGGGAACAACTCGGACTGGTGTGTACGCCGCCAAAGAATTCTTTCCTGCTCAAGGGAGATCACCTAGGTCACCAGGGTCCTCCAAGAACATGGCGCCAACTTTGCCGCAGCCGAAGAAACCACTCGAGTTTCGTTCTTTTGTACCTCCAGCGCCAGCGCTCTCAATTGATGCTTCCGTTTTGAAATCGGGCAATCGAGGTTTGAGAAATGGTGTCAACGACAGAGTGAAGTCTGTGTTCTCGGCATACACGCTAATGGGCGAGCCAACGCTTACGCCGTTGTCGACAGGAAGATTTGGTCCACTCACAGACCACATCTTCATGCCTCCAGCAAAGAGAAGTATTGCACCGGACTTGGCTGAAAAATCAATCACATCGTCTGAGGGGGACTATCTGATGACAATACCAACCTCGTCGCTGGATGTGGATTTGTTTGAAAGTCACAATCCGAATGGTAAATGGAGACGCAAGCATACCAATGGCAGAGCAGGAAGGAATAACCCGGAACCAATACCGAATCCGAACAAGACAATCTACAACAAGAAGGTAGCAGCACTGGTTTACCAGCAACCGAAGAGAAATCCAAAATCTGACGCGGTAAGTCACGCGCCTTTTCGTCACCTCAGTTGCCATCTAGTATTGTGTCACTGAGGCTACCCTTCCCGTTCCCAAGGCGAAGGCGCATGACGAGACCACACAGCAAGATGTACCGGCTCGATATCGCTTGACCTTGCGCCCCAGCTTCAAGTCGGGAGCAACGTTTGATCATGCCGAGTACAATCGAACTGGCCTGTACCCTGGTTGGGACTACCCACCAACTATGCCCAACGCATTTGTGTCCCCGGTCCTTTTCCTCCTATACTTCAATCCAGCATTGCGATCAACCGTCTTTTCGAATCAGTACGACCAGCGCCTTCTCTCATCCCGACCGCCAACGATGATACCAGAACTCAGCTTCTTGTTTCTCCAGATCGAAGGTATCTCCCGCCTCGCCTATTCTTATCCCACAAACCTGCCACACCACGGACCGCGTCTGAGAGCGTGGGTTCCGACAAACTTCTTGGCATCCCTTTCTACCATGCCGGAAGCCCAGCAGCTTCAGATTCTGGACGGGGCGCCGGCAGCGGTTGAACTCCCTCGTCGACCTGAGGCATTCTATCTCTTCTTGCTGTATCAGATAGACAAAGAGCTTTCAAACACTTCCGTGTCAAAGCTTTTGGACTCGATGCATGGAACAGATTTCGTGAGCGTGAACGAATTCATCACCGGGTCTGGCGAAACCTCCCAATCAACTGCTCGAGCCATGACCATTGAGCTGGCATACGATTGCTTTAAAGACGATACAGAACCAGTTCGTTTTGGACAAGTGTTGCAGAAGGCATTGTGCCGAGAAACGCGGCTCAGGGCATACAATCAAAAGTCGGGTGCTTTCGAAACCATTGTGCAGCGAAAGATTGCTACGTCTTTGCCTGAAACGTTGTCACTGTCCTGCGCCTGCGCCGGAAGGAAAGAGGAAGATGGTCTCAACCGGTGGCGCAGCACACTTGGATCCGAAGACCATTGGCTTCCAGAGCTCATTGAAGTGGAACTTACGGACGATGGTGGGGTCCTTGTGCGAGAGTGCGGTTCCCCAAAGACCGGGAAATGGGACACTTTTGAGGCATCGTCCTCTATCCCTGCTACAGTTGCCAACCTTGTAACGGAAATGCGTTCTAGCTGCCAGAAGCGAAAGTACCGGTACCAACTGGATGCCGTTGTCTCGTACGTACGTGATGACCCCGACAGTTGTGCCGACGCTGATGCCGATTCATCTTGTGGCCATCATGTGGTGCACGTGCGAGTTCCGAACGCGTACAAGAAACTTTTGTTATCCGAGCAGCTGAAGCAGCTTGACATTCTGTCTCAGACGGATTGGGCGGATTCCAAGATATTCGTAAAGGAAAGCAATTGGGACAAGTCAAAGTTCGCGCTACGAGCCAAGAGTGTTCGTGATAAGTTAGCCTCACTGGAGAGTGACAATGACGACGATTCGGAAAGCTCTTGGATCCTTGCCAATGGATACGTCGTCTCTGACACTGTCATTGAGGACGCGCGGGCTTTCCATGTCTCCTTCAAGGAACCCTGCCTCGTTGTCTACAAGGCCATCGATTGTGACTCGAAGGAGCACGAGGAAGACGTATCTCCGAGCAGCGCGTTGAGCACCTCGATCCCCCCTGACGTGATGAAGACAAGATCAATCAGCGACGGCAGACCTCCGCAATATCCCTTTGTGGATATTGATTCTTTGCCCGATCGAGGTGACTTGATTGCGTTTGACGCCGAGTTTGTGTCGGTTCAAGAAGAAGAATCTACGTTGACCAAGTCTGGTTCCAAGGTTACGCTACGCGAAGTCCGTCACGCCGTAGCACGGATCTCAGTGATCGATTGCAAAACGAGGAACGTCATCATCGACGACCACGTGTTGCCACAAGAACGAATCGTAGACTACTTGACTCGCTTTAGTGGTATTGTTGCCCGTGATCTTGATCCGATGCTGAGCCCGCACCATTTGATCTCCACGAGAAGCGCCTACCTGAAGCTACGGTATCTGATGGAACGGTACGTATTGCAACGCTGAATGGAAATGTGCGCACCTAGCTTGCGTCTCATACATGCCTTTGTCGTGGCTCGGTTGAATGAATAAATAGAGGCTGCATTTTTGTTGGCCACGGTCTGTCGCAGGACTTTTTGATGGTGAACCTGGTGGTCCCGAGCCATCAGATTATTGACACGGTGGAGATTTTCCATCAGGACCGGATGCGGTACATTTCTCTTCGCTTTCTCGCCAACTACATTTTGGGTCGCGACATGCAGCGAGACACTCACGACTCTGTGGAGGATGCTTTGGCAGCGTTTGAGATCTACGTGAAGGCTCAGCAGCTCCAGGAGAATGGGCAATTTGACAAGGTGTTGAAGGAACTCTACGAATATGGGCGCAAGACGGATTGGAAACTAGGCGTTGAAGCCAAGAATTGAAGAGCAAACTAGAAACTATGCATACAATCAAATCAAATCAGAACAAGAAGACAGGCCATGAGAAGCCCGAGAGAAAAAGAGAAATATATTTGAGAAAGAAACTTCAGAAACACTAGAAAAACACCTAAAAACCAAATAAACACTGAAAAAGCCATGAGAAATAGGAGCCATGCATTGTATGATAGCTTATAGTTGATGAGTTATAAAGTAAGTAGTCGCGGAGGCGTAAGTGTTGTTGCCGCTTGTTGTTGTCCGGAACTGTCGGCCCAATCCGAACGGGCCATGATAGTAGATTTTGCACTGCCTGTTCTGTTTCCTCAGCTTGTACCCCACAGCCAATTCATCGGAAACCAGCGGCCCCATGGGATACAACTTGGAATGAAACAGCCATGTTATTCACATTGATATCGGAAAGAAGGGTGTGAATCTTTGCCCATGGAGGGAGAAAGAAGAAGCACAAACGACACTTTTGTTCTTCCTTATCTTGACCCGACGCTCGAATTGGAAGAGACGCTGCTGCTCAGGGAACGCAAATAAGCTTTGCGATGGTACGACGAGTACTTCTTGACACCCTTCAGATTCGCTGGTTCCTTGCCAAACTCTTCCAAAGCATCTTCCTGGCTCGGTGATGTTACCCAGTAAAGGACCAAACTGGTACCCACAATGGCGCTAATCTGAGTTGCTAATTCGGTCGACATTGTTGTGAAGAGTTTTGGATTGTGGAAACTAAAACAAAACAATGATACGAGCGGATGACTTTTAAGCTCGAGCAAAGAAGATTCCTTGCTAAGGAAAGTGTGCCGATGAAAGAAAGCAAGACGTTGCTGGTGGTATGCACAAGCAAGGAGTGGGAATCTTTTGCAAGGGTCAACATCGCCAACTCCATCTTACGTTGTTGGAGGGAGCCTGAGCCCTCCCTCTGTCGTTCCCAAAAATTGACAGTGAAGGAAAGATTTAGCAACATGACTCCGAATGTCTCACCGGTCCAAAATGACCATTTTTTATAGCCAGTGACCTCAGACCTGTCCAGGCAAAAAAACACATCAGCGTGCAAGCAGTCCCGTAAGTACCGCCGTACCGAACAGATACCGGTACCGGTAGATAGATGTTATGAAAAATCTATGGCTGATCCGTGGTGGTGATTTGATAGGCTGTGGTGCTGTGGTGCTTTCGCCTGGGTGGTTGAGGAGAGAGGGAAGGTGATCATGAGGTTTCTAAATAATGGGCAAACCACAAACAGATTCTTGTATTGGAGAGCTTTGCATGGCCACTTGAAAGTTGGGTTGGAAATTGACCCACGAAGCAAATTATGGCTGGCTGTCAAGAAGCTGTCATTGAAATGAGGGACATGCAAATGCTGTAAGCCACTCTATACCGTACCGGTAACGGTATGCAACAGTTTGGGTTCCATTATTTCGCAGTCCCTGCTCTAGGTAGTAATCAAGAGATTCTGCGGGCCAAACTGTACAATGTGACCAGCTATTGATTTGAATGGAATGTTTCACGCCAAAATTTTGAGCGCGAGGAGACCTATGAATGCTGCCGCCAAAGAGAGATCACCTGACGTCTCGAAGAAGACACGCCGTCGTTTTACATCGGATCAAGGCATGGAACCGAGGTTTCTTCTCTCGATGTTGAATACTGGTTGTATCAAACTTTGGGCGGCTAACGTGTACCGGTACCGGTATGCTGCTGGATGGATCATGTTACTCTACTGAGTACAGTATGTACTTTGATCAAGCCAACAGAGGGTGGTCAAGCTTACCGTAGGGGAACTACATCGTAGAGACAAAACTTAGGAGAGGACCTGGTGGGACCAGCGGGCAAAAACGATGGACGGATCTTGGTGACAGCACGCTGGGCCTTCACCTGGATAGTTGGATGTTTCAATCTTCAATGCCGAGACTGTCACTCACACTGCAGTTTTAATGCTACCCGGCCGTGCATCCAATTTCAGTATTCCATTGACTGTAGAAACCAAAGCAACTATGATAAGGTTAGCCACTATTGAAAGACATACATGTCCTGATGCTTTTTAGGTCCAGGTAAGCGAGGACACCAGCGCCATCTGGTCCAATGATTTCAGCAAAGAATGTGAATCTACTACGAGTACGTGTTCCGTACATCGTAGGCTGAGCTTGAATTGAATGGCCAATGACCGTTGGTTCGATCTATGGTAGCTCAATGGCCCAATTCTTTCGTCTAAATGACTTGACTCGACTCATTGGTGCTGGGCTATCTTTCTACTGTATGTAACTTGGCTTTGTGCCTGCAATAACAATATCATTGCATGAGTTGAGACAGGTCTGGAGTTGGCAAGGGTGCTGGTTCAAGATGCACATGTGGGCTCAGGAAGGCTCTGTGGGTGTGTATGCAGTTCTGCTGGGTTATATTTGTATTCTGGCCTTCAAGCCACTGTTCAGTTTTCGTCAAAACCCAGGCAAAGCGGCAAAGCTTCAATCTCGCCTTATTATATCAACAACATGGACCGTGAGGACCACCACCAGCGCCGTCGAGGCCAACAACAGCAACGACACAGCCGTCAACGACGCGAGAAGAATGTGCTCTCAACCCTGGACCACAACCATTTCCATCACCGGCAGGAAGGAGCCAAATCAAAGCCACGAAAACCCGTAGGCTTTCATCATCAGGACCGACGACTGCCTTTGTCGTCAGAGCGCAAACGCAAACCTCCCAGCCGAAGGCGCTCCTCTCACGGGTTTCAGCGACAACATCAGCAAAATTCTGCCTCTAAAAGGCGCCGTGGTTCAGGCGAACTACGAAAAGAGAGGCGCCAAAACCAATCACAATTTAGGGGGTCGTCGCTCAAGACAAAACCAACCATTCACACTCTCGACAATGACAGTAGCAGTGACGACGCCGATGACGAAGGCGAAGAACCACAGAATTTTGATGATGATGATGACAGTGACATGGAAGCTCCCTACTACCAGCCTTTGAAATTTCCAGGATTGAGTCAAATGCTCTTGGACCCAATCCCCGCTAAAAAGGTCCAAGAAGAGCCCCTACGGCCAGGTGATATCATTGAGTACACCAACCCGCTCTTTGTCGCTGGATCCAAACAAGGGCGACGCGTGGCACAAGTGCTCGCCGTCAAGTCCAGAGGGGATTTTGTTTTGGAACTCGACAATGATGAATTGCTCCCGAATGACACGCGCATCCGACGCGTCCGTGAATTCCGCGACAATCGATTGTTCCAGCATGCCGGCATCTATCGACAAGTCGAAGACTTTAAGCTCGTTGCAGGACGGCTCACCAACGAAAAATTCCTGCAGCGCAAAGTCCAGAAAATCAAAAAGATTCTAGAAGAAGGCAGCAAGGAAGCGCAGAAAATCTTCCTCGAGACATTTCAGAAAGGCAAAACCCACAAAAACAATGGCGGTTCTTCCAGTAGTAGTAGTAGTAGTAGTAGTGACTCGCATTCTTCCGATTCATCAAGCAAGGGGCCACCAAAACACCCCAGCAAGGGCCAAGGAGCTACCAACGCTTCTGCAGTAGATTTGCTGGAGAGCAGTGGTGCCGATTCAGATCTGGAGGAATTGTTGCGGCCCATCACGTCCATCAAACGTAAAAAGCGATCGCCGTCGCCCCAGAAAGGAAACAGCAGCAAAAGTAACAAACCCAAAGAGATAGTCCGTGATCTGCCGCAACGGCGCCCACTACAATCACCGCGCCAAAAACAAGACAATGTTGCCAACAAAAAGAAGGGTCCCTTGGAGGCAACAAGCAGTGAAGAAAGTGATGACGCCTGCATGGTCGTCGATGGCAATGCATCGAAACCCAAATCTGCTTCGCCCAGGGCGCCAAAAGGATCGCCCAGCAATGTTCTTGTCAAGCAAGCGTCCGAGACGCAAACGTGTAAAAGTCGAGGTGTGTCACCCAAAAAGGCAGCTCCGTCATTTTCGCTAGGCAAGCTCCAGCGCAAGCAGAAACACGGCAATTCTCTGGGCAAGGCAAACCTTGGGGCTCAAGCAGAAAAGCGAAACAAGGAAACAGCAGCCCGGGCGCCTCTGATCACACGGAAGAAACGCAGCAGCAACGACGATAGCATTGATCTTCTCAGTTCTGATGAGGAGTCAACGGTTGATGATGAAAGTAATCGCAATCGCAAGGAAACAAAACCATCAGCTACACCAGCAAAGCGGAAAGATCGACAATCTAGCGACAGCGTCTTTGACTTCCCCGACAACACCCAGGATGACCGTGTTGCGGCTGTTGAGGGCTTTGGCCGTAGGACACCCATTTTTGTTCGAGACGTCACCAATCCTGATCAGAGACAATCGTCTGGGAAAAAGTCTGTTCGCAAAACGCCTCCCAATAGCACTCCTTCGTCCACGGTGTCACCGTGTCCCAATCAGAGGCCACCGCGGAGATCTCTTCGGTTCTCCTCACCGATGCCTCGGGAGCAGGTTTCTTCCGTCAGAAGACACGAAGAGTCCACGGATCAATCGCAATCCACACAAGAGAACCACCAACAAATGGATGATGATCTTGCTGATGACGAGGAAAAGGCCATGGCAGAATCCAACGATGAATCGTCGCAATCAACCCGGGAGAGACAGTTCCAGTCGGACTCTGGTCTTTCCGACGAAGAGATGAATGTCATGCGAAAGTCAACCAATAAAACGTCTCAAGTCAATCATTCTCCTTCGGATTCTGATCTTTCTGATGACGACAAATATGCAACACGAAATGCCAATGGATCGTCACAACCCCCGCAAGGGAACCAATCTGATTCAGATGACGATCCTTCCGATGATGAGAAGCAAGAGCAGGAAATAGTTGACATTTCTTCCGTCGGAACGGCCAACAGTTCTGGGACGGACACATCGGATTCTGAAAAGCTCAGAAGGAACTCGACATCGGAATTGTGCATAGTCAGTGTGAATCGAAAGTCAAATCGCAGACCTACAAAGCGACCAAAGGGGAAACCCAAGACTTTGGCGACGCCAATGAAATGTTCAAATGGACAAGTAGCCTCATCCTCATCGGAAGAGGATGTTCACAACGACACCCCTCCGACCACGATCAAACAGCGAAGCCGCAGACTTGCTAATTCTCGCGAAGATGAAACATCCGGGGACAAAGTTGCGCGACATGCGCTGTTGAAGAAGCAGAGTTTGACAAATCAAGTGGGTTTCACTTTGAGCAAGTACAAGATTCCCAGGAAAGGGCCGCCCCAGGCGGCCCGTGCGAAATCGGTCACCTCGCTGCATGTGAGTGCGAAGTGTCCATCTTTCTATTCTCGCGAAAATGACGGCAGAAATTCTGGCGTCCAGAAGCGAAAGAAGACTCGCGACGAGGATCTATCGCTTGACCAGCCAAGTCAGTACTCAACAACTCAAAGCAGCGACACAGCCATGGCAACACCGACGAGTGGCCTCAAGGGGCTAAGTCTCTCTATTGAGACCGCGGATAGTAGTTCCGATGATGCTATCACCGGATCAACGGGATTTAGTCGACGACAGTTCCAAGAAATTGCGGAGCACGAGGTTCCAAGGAGTATAGCAAAGGGCAGAAGGAGAAAGTCATCTAGTAGTTTCCAGTCTGGTTTGAGCTTCACCAAAGTTCCCAGAGGCTGTCATTTCTGATGCATCATTCAACCAGAATGCTTGTCGTTTTGTCGCCCGCTCAGCTCAGGCTGGCCAGCTATGTATTAGAAGCAATCTACAAAACCTCGAAATAAACTGGACCGACCGGTAACTACTTTTTACTCGTTGTAGATTTCTTCTCTGGTTCAGGGGTCTCTGGTGCAGGCTTCGATTGGCGCAAGCCACCATCCAACTCTCCATTCATCGCAATCTCCTTGAGTAATAGCTTTGTTTCGGCTATCAGCCTTTGACGGTCGCTATTCTGCATCTCTTTGGTGGCGGCTATGTACGCCTCCTTTTCAGCAAGTTGTCGTTCCAGTTGTGCCAAGTTTTCTCGCATTTTTGTCAAGTGCATCCGTGCATTCGTGTTGAATTTGTACATTCCAAAGAAGAGGTCGAAGGAATCGCCCGATGTCATATCTGCAACGTCACAAAGTGCTGCATATTCCTTGGACACCACGGGTGAGGGTGGCAAGAGCTCCTTATCCACGAGCAACCGACCCATGAGATGGGTCACAAATTCTGCGTCTGCGATGGAAGCATCGTGTTGCTCCGCGTTCACTGTCAAGCCAGGCAAATGCAGTCGTGAGGAGAACCATCCAGAGCGCGGGCAAACACACCGCACCTAGGCATGAAGGCTCAAACTCAATGGTTGAAACACACTGACAACAAAGGACTTACTCTCAACAAGTCGGCATCGAGCATCTGCAAATATCTGGAGATACCGTTCACATCGCGGGACATCTGAGATCCGTACCTTCTCGTACACCATGGGACGACCATCCCAGACGGAAGCCGAGTACGAATCATCAACCACCACCCCGTCGCCGCGTTTTCCTCCCGTCATGTCCACCGGGCCAAACATTGGATGCGAGCTGAGAATATCAATGTCAGGACGGTCACCGAACACCCTCAACAACACTTCCTTGGGATGAGAGTTCAACGGACACACATCTACCACCAGAACCTTTCGGAATAAGTCTGCTGGCAGACCACGAATGACATCTTCAAACTTGATCATTGGAACTGCGAAAATGACAACATCCAAGCCGGTTAGGAAGCTGGACATTTCATAATGTGGATAAAACTCGACACCGAGATTCTTGGCCTCAGCAGACTACAAGGCGAAGATTTCGAATGAGCAAATCATGTTTTTCAATTGACCACGTATCACTTCCATGTTTGTACGTACCTTGTCGAGGATGTCCAGCGCAGTAACGCGATTGTTTCGAGTCATCCTTCGAGCCAGAAATTGACCGTAGCTACCAAAGCCAATGATTCCAATGTTCAAGGGCTTGTTGCCCTCCATGTCGCTTGGGAGCGTTGATACTGATGCGCTCTTTGGGTCAACCTCTATCAATTTTAGTCTCTTGACTGCGCTGGCGACCGGACCCACCAACTTGGACTTGACCGGGTAGGAACCAAGGATCCTTAAGAAATCAGCTTGTTCTCTCAAGTGTGACAAGGCGTTTTGAGTGTTTTCGTCTAACTCTGCAGCCGTAAAGTCCAAGTAGAAGCAATATCGGAAGCGAGGCAATGCAGCAGCGTTACGAGACTTGCGACCCAGCTGTTGGCTCTTGAACTTCAAATAGTTTAGCAGTGACGCTGACGTTGGTCGGCTCTCGATCTTGGTACAATCGATATCCCGGAGAGAAAAGCAAGCAAGTGCTTTGTAGAGGGCTCCTGTGGAATGGTTTCGAAACGAGGCCAAAGTGAGTACTCTAGTTGCACAGCAGGCCACAAAGCTCATAGCACACGCTGCCATTTCGTACCCGGCGAATCTGGCAACGCAAAGACAATAGAGGTCTTGGACGGGATTTTCTTGTTCAAAAACTGTACAACGTCTTTCCTCGCCAACAATAAGAAGCGGGTAAAGTTGGTATCGTCGTCCTCTATCCCTTTGTTTAAACAGTTCAGTTTGTAAATGTTTCCTGCAAGATCAGATGCAATAGCCGCAGTATTTTCAGGGGTGCAATTCTCAGGTAGCTCGAGCCCCTCAGAAATCATTTTGGCGGATCCAGCTGTATCATAGGTTGCTATTGGTGTGATGCCAAGGCCCCTCAGAAAATTGGCGCATTGAGCCAGTGCCTGGGGGTGGGATATGGCATATTTGATGGATTCTCGTTTGACGCCGGGTTTGGCCAAAAGACAATGCTTCACACGAAACTCGTGCTCTCCAATGATTGTCCTTGGGTTGATTGTGTGGTACATGTTTGTAATGGAAGATGAACGTGAGAACCGAGCTCGGCAACCAAAGCACCGCCACGTTTCGTATCAAGATAGCTCACAGTTGATATCTCAGCATGAGATCGTAATTCTCGTGAATGCTTCCACCTAGAGAGTTTTCAATAGGAAGGCATGCATAGTCGCATTCCATTAGCGCCACAGCTCGGAAGGCAGCTTCAAAACTCGGTCTTCCCACCGCAAAGACATTGGGACCCAGCAATTCTCTTGTGGCCTTTTCAGAATAGGCCCCTGGCTCCCCTTGATATGCTACCCGAATTATTGCTGAACCTGAAGAGTTGTCGTCATCATCCATAGACATGGAACCACCTCGCAAGGATAGCGGAATGTTCGCCGCCTGGGTCTTGGAAGTCTGGATAGGCACAATGGCTGCCGTTTTGTACAAGCACAGCCATGAAAGCAAAAAAAGCATCCGCTTCCGCTGGATCATGATTCCTGATGGCTAATGGCACCTTTGCGATCGTTGTGTATCTGGTTTTATGATGGCTATCTCAGATCGAGGTGGGTCTCTGCTTGATGTTTTGATTGCTACCCGAAACCTCATTGGCATGGCAGCGGGTCTCATTTTTGTGCGGTTGTGGATTGGCTTCAATGATGTCACCTTTAAGCTGGTTGAGCTACTGGCTTTCTCGTTTGCATCAACGCATCTGGCACACAAAATCTTAAAAGTTGGGTAAATGGTTCCAAGTCAAATCAGTAGCTTTCCATTAGTCAAGCCCCTATACTGTGAATGATCGGGACCATGCAAACTCAGAGGTTATCAAGCACGAAGACAAGATGATGAAGTGAACTCGGGTGTTGACGAAGAATGATTTGAGTTATGATTTGTGTTTGAGATTCAATGATTCAGTTTGCTACAGGAGCAGAGCAGAATGGTCGAGTTTGAATTTGTGGATTGTTTGCAGGATCAAGGGCTCGAACATTTGTCTTCAATAAGGTGGCTGTGTGGCTTCTTGCAGTACCGGTACCATGGTAGCGGTTCGTGCAAGAAACAGCCTTCATTTTCGTTCCGAAAGCCATTCCGCTAAAATGGCATTGTCGAGCTTATGGGCTGGCCTTGACTGGGGACCCAATATCTGCTTACAACCCTTCCTGTTGAGATGAATACTGCTCCTGATCAATCCATGAGGTGCTTTTCGAGCAACAGTATTTCTGCTGGCTCACCTGGGTTGTCGATGAATCTGTAGCCCATGTTCATGTACATCGCCTTGGCTGCTTCATTACTGGTGAGAACTTTCAGATAGAGAACAGAACTGTTGAACTCTTTCAAAGCTATTGTTTCGCATAGCTCAACCTGAATCGATTCAAGCACCAGAATTAGCAACCAAAACCAGGCCAATAGTATGAAGAGCAGTAGTGGATGGAATGGAACCTACCAGTCTTCTTCCAACGCCTTGACGTCGCACATTGGGGCTGACCAAGAGATCACTGAGCATTGGACGGGGGTTTCTGTGTACGAAGGGGAGATAGGAGGTGTTGGCATTGGTTGTTGAATGCCCGATTAAAAATAGACACGCCTAGCGTCAATCTGCAGGTTCTTGAAGCTGGCTAGCTAGTACCTGATGGTGGTCAATCTCACAATCATTCATTCACTCACGTTCTATGAAAGGTGCTTGGAGGGGGTGGTCTGCTGTCCAATTGACAGAACCCAATGACCTCTTGCCTACCTGTCAGTGCCGCTACCAGCATTCTGTGTTTATGTCTCTCCTCTCTCTTTGGGAAGCTGTTTTGCAATCTGGTGTATTCTGCCAATCTTAAAAAGCAACGGGAACATGAAACAGTTCAAAAGCAGGCAAAAAGATCTTGGGTTAGGTCAAGTAAAGATAGATCCACTGGATATTGTTGGGGTAGAGTGGAGCCCTACCGACAGCCCTACCGACAATGGTACTTCGTCACACAGCTTGGATTGTTGTAAAAGGCGTCAACCATCATGTCACTAACAGGCATCAAATCTGACTAGAAACGTGAGCAGTTGTTTACTATGTGGAGACTGACAGAGCACTTTTGCATTGCAATAAACTGGAAGTCTACATGTACCTGGGGATGTACTGTCTCGAATGTGCATTTCAGCTTGGATGGAGACCATTCCTGTGTACAGCCGGTTGGCATGAGCATCCAATGCCAAGACTGACTCGGATTGAAAAAAGACGGAGATCGACAAAACCAACAGACAAAGGCAGCCACTAAACGGAGGCATTGTCGACGGCCCCATAGCAGGAGGCAGAGCAAGCTTAAGGGAGCGATAAGCCAAGGAAGCGATGATGTTATGATGTTGTGGGTGGTGGATTGGCTAAAAATGAGACAACTCGGGACTCGGATGCATCGTGACTTGAAGAACCTCCCATCATGATAAGGCATCTCCGGAGCGGTCGCAAGATAGTAAAGATAGTTTGGGTCACTTGAAAACAAAGCCAAAGTACACAGTTAGACTCTAGCTAGCTAGTAGATGGCTGGACTGGTGGGTTGCATTCCTCCTGCTCTTTGCACATGGCATCATCACAATGCTGCTGATCGTCGTTGGGCTGATGACCTTCGGGCTGACCATTGTGGGGTTGATGATCTTTGGGATAATCATTGTGGGGAAGATGATCTTTGGGCTGGGTCACTGGGAGCTGCTGAGTTGTACTGGGAAGGTTCATGGGTTCACAATCCTCCTTTGTTTCAGGGGCAAGGTCGACCTCCTGCTCTTTGAACACGGCCCCATCACGATCCTGCTGATCATTGTGGGGTATATGATCTGTGGGCTGATCATTGTGGGGAAGATGATCCTTGGGCTGGGTCTCTGGGAGCTGCTGAGCTTTACTGGCAAGGTTCATGGGTTCATCGAGTGGATTGTTGTCACGATCCTCCTTTGGTGGTGCAGGGGCAGGGTCAACCTCGGGCTCTTTGCACATGGCATCATCACGATCCTGCTGATCCTTGTTGGCCGGATGACCTTCGGGTTGATCATTCTGGGGTACCGGTACTAGATGATCTTTGGGCTGGGTCTCTGAGAGCTGCTGGGTTTGACTGGCACGGTTCATCGTTTCATTGAGCGGATTGTTGCCGCCATCCTCCTCCTTTGTTGCAGGGTCCACAGATTCCAGCCACTTTTTCAATGCCGCGGCGACAGACTTTGATTTATCCTCACGTAGAACCATGTGTTTGTCCCCCGCGAGAAAGTTCTCTGCGTGGGTTCGATCGAATGGTCCCAAACCGCTGTCGTCCTCCTCCGATTGAAACGCCAGCAAGTTCAGTACGGCTGTCGCAGTCAGCTGTCCCTTGGACTCCTCAATGTAAGAAGGCAAGCGATTTCGTACTTGTAGCACGAGCTCGAGGTGTTCGGTTGACATGTGACTGCCTTTCTTTGCTCGTCGACTCCTACTAGTGGATGCGGCGCTTGCCTTTCGGTTCAGGTCAATCTGAGCATGAATCTCTTCTGCGTTTGTCTTTTTCCACCAGTCCTCCGAAATCGTGCACCGGCTAGTAGGCATCTCCTTTCTTTGGTTAATTGTAGTGGTGGTGGTGGGAGCACTGCGGCTTCCAGTGGGAGCAGATTTCGTCAATCCGCTCTTGGCCCTCCAGGATGAAAAAGCCCTGCTGCTGGTTGCTGTTGTTGTTGTGTTGGCTCGCTGTTCGGACTTTCGGCTCTTCTTCAAGGGAGGCATCTCCGCCGCATTCGCCGTCGTGGATGCAAACATGGTCGCCCGTCGTTTTGTGGGCCGCATCAAGTCCGCTACCAATGCTGTGTCGCTGTTTTGTTTCATGGTCTCTTCTTGCGCCTCCACAAGTGCACTGATTTTGGCCGCTTGTTTTTGGACCGCACATTCCGTGCCTTTTAATTTGGACGTTCGCAACGTGTACTTGCCCAAGGGCATCCAGACGGGATCCGCATTCGGTACCAAATTGCGCCGATGCATTTTCTGAATCAGCTTGACTCGGTCGGATTTGTTCAAACCAGGGAGCAACCGTGGTCCCACTTCAGTAAACTCGACATCAAAACCGCTGCCACCCTGTTTCACAGCGGAAATTGTGGCCGTGTAGCTTTGTTTTCCGCCAATTTCGTTGGGATGGTAGTACTCCACAATACACCCCGCTTGGATGGTTTGTCGCTTCTTTTTCTTGATTTCGACAGAATCAAACGAGTCAATTCTGGTAAGAGATTGGTACTGCTTTGGGTCTTCTTCCTCCTCCGAGTCGGTGCTGCCGTCATCTGAATCATTTGGATGGTCGGCGCTCTTTGGTTTGGAGGATGATGGTGTCATGGATGCATCTGCATGTGAGCAAGATTTGTTTTGCCGCGAGAAAAATGCCACAGTCTCCTCTAGGATGCATTTTTCTTCCAATAGTTTTTTGGTAGTGTATTTGGGCTGCATGTCTTTGTCTTTTTTGGCTCTCAGATATTCCATGTAGGCATCCATGTGTTTGGCAGACACTGTCATTGTTGTCTCGCTCTCGTTGTCTTGGACCATGGCTGTAAGTTGATTGGAGGATGCCTCGTAGCGTGTGAATTCATTGGGCAGCATGTACTGGATCCAGATTTTTCCATCTTTTTGTTTATGATGATCTGCCAGTTCAGAATCATTGAGCACTCTACAGGGAAGACATTCAATATCCTTTCCATGCTTGGTCGGTTTGAGATGCCACTTTAGTTTGTCGACATTGTAGTCCAAGGATTTGCCATAAAAGCAGTAGTCCTCAATATTGTCTTTGATTTTCTTGCGAACCTGTTCCTCCAAGGCGGTTGGACTTTTTGGATCTTCCTTGGGCGTCGAAGTCGTCTCCTCGTCACTACTTCCTGGCGACGACTGACTGACCAATGCTGCTTTTTGGAATGGATTGAACGACAACAATTCCTTCTCGTCGTCGGAATCGTCCGAATTTAGGTCGTCAGTGTGGTTCATTACTGTCTTGTCTTGCTGCTGTTGCGAGCTACTAGCTGATGAGGATGATGATCTCTGGTGTTGGCATACTTCTATGGGTCCAATGAGTTACTTTTCTAAAGTTAGTTGATAAAGGACAGCCTTGTCATTTTTTTTGTGTGATGGTTTTCTGAGCGGTTTCTGTTGTTTCGCCAGCCCCAACGTCATTGTGCGAGGGTTGAGGATAAACAATCCTTTGATCCAGGACACAAAACGAAACATGGCCTCCGTGGAGACCTCGACGGCACCTACCTTGTAAAAACATCACAAGGATCAACATCCAATCCAAGAAGACCTACATGTATTGAGACAATCAACAACAACCACAACAACATTACACAACCATCACCATGTCTGACGACGAAGGCAAAGATGACAACAAGGTGACGGCTCATACCTACGGAGCTTTGGATACTAGTCAAGTCACCAATGAGTGTTGGCTGGTCCGCATCCCTCCCAGTTTAGCTCACGTTTGGAACAAGGCGCCGGAAGGCACCGTGTTGGGCGATCTAGTCTTTACCAAGGGAGGCCCTCCCACGGCCAAGCACAGGGGCGCCAAGCCGGTCAAACCGACGGTTCAGATCCGTGTGGCACCGGAAATGCTCCAAGAAGAAGATGAAATTGACCCGCAAGACGAGTCGCCCGTGGTCAATCAGCAACAACTCACCATCCCACTCAACTATTCCATGGCCGCCATGACCAAAAAGTGTCCAAGGCTTCATCCATTCTCGCGTCATCCTCAAAATGGATCCGTCAAGCTGTGGGGAACGGTCACTAGAACTGCCAATCTACAAGTCGAACAGGATCGCAACTATCGACAACTCCTCAAAGATCGGCTCATTCAGACATCCGTCAATTCCAGTCGATTCGTCAAGCCAGTCGATGCGCCACAATCAGTTGTCGCCAAACAGCAACGACGCGTCGGAGCTGTTCCCAGTCTCAAAGCCAATGGCGAAGAAGAACCGGAATCCGCCACCTTTTCCAATGCCGTCTATCAATTTGGAAAACGCAAATTGGAAGCCCAGCAGGCCAACGAATCGGCACACAATTCCATGTTGGCAGGTGCCGGCCCCAACAAACGCATGCGACAATTCTCGCCCGATCAACCCATGCGATCCGTCATTTTCGAACTCTTTGAACAGCAAAAGTATTGGACCGTCAAGGATCTCAAGGGAGCCGCCGCGGCTGGAGGAGCCGTGTCCACCAAGAAGAGCGAAACCGAAATTCGTGATGTGCTACGAGAAATTGGACTCTATCATCGCAGTGGAGATCACAAGACTATGGTACGTGTCGATCAAATCAAATCAGCCATAACAAATCCTTCCGCGTCAAACATGCATGTATGCTCGTTCCTTTCATATGAATCCCTCACATCATGTTGTTCCTCCGCCAATAATTATTTGTCCAGTGGGAATTGAAAAAGGAATTCCAGCAGCAGTCGTAAAGGACGAGCCTTTTTTTCAGAGAAAATATCAATATACGAATGTTTTGCCACGTTGGGATGCTTTCTATTATTTTAAAAAGTTAAAAAGTTGCCTGCAGTTTACAGAAATGTGCCGCCTGTAGCCTTGTCTCTCCTTGTCTCAGTATTATTGTAGCATCGGGACGCTCGATGACGGATGATAGTCTGCTCTATCCGTACTCCCGCTCCAAGCGATCCTCGGTGAGCACGCCCACAAGTAGTCGTTTCCACTTGGTATAAATGTCCCTCTTTCTGGCCCTTTCTTCGTCTTCTTCCTTCTTCTGTGCTACTTCACCGTACGCTTCATGTAGTAGCTCCGCATTGTGTTCATGAACCACCACGCCTGTTTTGGACGCATGCACGACAAGGGAACTGAGTTACAAGAAAGTGTCGCTCACCATTGAAGGATATTATCGTGAACGGTTTCTTACCTTGAAACTTTGGTTTGCGATTCACACCGTGGCCCTCAAAGCCCAACATGCACGGGGCATAAGGACTAAATATGCCAATCAATCAAGCAAGCGCACCAATTGAGGGGAATGAATAGATGACTCCGTCAGAGAGCTCCAGATCAGAATGCAATCCCAAGAGAGCTAGACCACTTACATTCCCAATTGCTTTGCGACCTGTGATATACCCGGTTCGTCCGCATGTGCCAAGCCGGGGTTGATGAGTTGAACTTCAATGTTGCCAAATTTGTTGCGAGGAATCCTGTCGTCGGGTCCCACACGAGGAAGGTTCCAAGGGACTGTTTGCCAAATGGCATAGAGAGAGATCTTTCCGTCATTGGTTTCATCGTCGTCCATCCCCAAGTCGTCTAGATTCGTCTCGGCCAAGTACGACTTGACTGGTTGGAAGGATGTTCCAGCCGCTGGCTTTTTCCGAGGTTCCACGCGCTTGACGGGTATGTCGAGTTCACAGTCCCTTACTTTGCGGTGCTGGTAGAGCCATTTCTGGGCTGTCAGCGCCTGGCTCACATGTTCACGGAGAAAGACGCACTGGCCTTTGAAAAAAGCTATTGGTTTGGCATCCGGCGACAAGACTTCCCTTGCTTTGAGGACACTCTTTATGACGTATACAGGGTGATTGTTGAATTCATCTTTGGATGTCGGAACAGTCTCGCACTGGGCTTTCTTGGAGAGCTCTTCCTTTTCCCGTTCGAGGGCCTTGTCCAAGTCATTGTCCACACGACGTTTCGTCTTGTCATTGCTTGCTGCTGCCTGTTGTTGCGGTTTGGATGCGACTTTGAGTGAATTTACGCCCTCTTCTGGTTGCGCATTTTCTGTACCATTCGAGGAACCATTGTTCAACTTATCGATTGCCTTTGACCACCAAGTTGATTGTTGTGGATTGGAAAGCATTTTCGCTTGGATTTTTCGAGGGACCCCACGGAGTTGTAGCGTTTTGCTCATGCTGCTGGAATACCTGGGGGTAACATCGGTTACGTACTGCATTTGCTCATCAGACCCGAGATGCTCGGCAGCAATTACAAAGCAGACAGGCCTCGCCCTTGACGATGTTTGGACTGCGCGTTTCTTCTTGTGCCCGTTCGCAGATTCAACGTGGTTGTTCTTGTCGAGAAGAATCTTTTCCACGAGCTGTGGCTGGTCCATTGCTTGCATCTCTGGATCCACATGAATCCATCGCATGTTGCCGTTTTCAGCTCGACAAAACACCTCTGCCCATCCAATCACAACCTGCCCCGCCACACTGCTTTCATGACGAGTCGGTGAAAGCCCCAAGGAGTTCAGGTCCTTTTGTTCATCTGACGACGCAGCAGCCGACCATCGTTTTCGCTTTTTGGTTGATGTTGAACCCCTTGCTGATTTGCCATCTTTGTCATGCTGATTGCTGAGTGTCCATGACGCCAAGGCACGAAATGACGTCGCCACGGGGTGATTCACATCCACATCTTTTGATATTGGTTCAATCGCAGCTGCAAATCTCACTCTCCAGCCAAGCGACCTTTGTTGGGGACGACGCAGCGATTTGTAGAGGAATTTATTAGTAACATGTGCCATGTAAGAACTCAGACATCGAAGACTTACCTTGTCATTGTTACGAACAGGTTGACTTTGTCTGAACTTGTCCATACTATGTCTTGCCCGTCACATACAAGCTGCGCGTCTTCATTCTGGGAAGAGGCCAAGTACGCACAATACTCCACCAGCCTGTTTGGAGAGGGGTGTGGGCGTCGTTCCTCGGGCGGAGTTTCTTTCATTTTACTCTTCTTGGCTTGCCGACGCCTTGTGGCAGGAGCTCCTGCTCTTCTGTTGAAGCGTAATGTTTGCAATCGTCGTCTTTCAGCATTGGACACTAAATCATGGAACCATGAATAAAGTGCATGTACTTCCTTCTTGGATGGTTGAGAACCCCCATTAAAAGTAGGAGGAACAAGACTCAAAGCCACGGCCATGGCCAAATCATCACTGCACTGCTTGGAGTTAAAGACAACGTGGCTTGTCAGAGCCAACCAAGAAGCTCGATGGAGGTGATCTACCAGTAGTCTGACATTTTGCGTCAAGGAACCAAATCCGTACTTGCGACGCGTTTTCCCCTTCCTTTTCTTCTTTTCTTCTTGCTTGCCAGGTGTTTCGCTTGATGCAAACATAGTCGACACGATATCCTGACCAGCGGTATCATTATTTTCTTCTTCGTCATCATCCGCATCTTCCCAGTCCAGCGCATCCTCGTCATCGTCATCTTCAAAGTCGTAATTGAAACCAAAAGAAAACTGAGATTCTTCCACGCGACCTTGGCCGCTTGAATCCAACAAAGATACTTTATTATTCTTATCGTTCTCCTTGTCTTCGTCGTCGTCGTTCTCTGGACTAGTTGTGGGTATCTCGCCAATGGCTTTGGCTGCAGGTTTTGACTCTGGTAGTAACAACCGCGTGAACGGAGGCTCTTCCTGCTGCTCTTTTTCGTCCTCCTCGTCGGACGATAGGTTCAGGCTGAAGCTCATTTTGAACGATCTCCAAATAGCTGTTGTAGTGGACGATGAAAGAATGAAATCGAGGCCAAGATCTTCGGTTTAGTGGTGGCTCAAGAGGGAACTTGCTTCCAACAATGAAGACTGAGGACTCTCATTTGGCCCGATATTGGCTCGCGTTATGCATCGTGGTACAGTTTCCACGGTTTGGTCGCTTGGTAACAACCATACGAAGCATACTGTACGGTGGGTACTATCTAGCTACCGAGAGCTTGCAAACACATCCAACATACCCGCCGAAGTTCGTGAGGCAACCTATTACACTGGTATCGTGCAGGTAGCAAACTCTTGCCGAATGGTTGCTTCCAATCCATCCGTGATCAATGAAGACGATGTTTCGATGATACGGCTCCTCTCTTCAAGAAAAGAGTCGTACCACAATTGCTGCCTCTGTTCCTTCTGATCAACACCTACAGTACCTTCTACTAGCTAGTACCGGCACTGTCCCCACGCGCCTCCGCATCAAAAACCGGCACCGTACACAAGCTCGGTCAGGTGGTGCCCACACGTGGCTTTTATCAGGAAACAGAATTGAGTTGCGTCGCCAATGAATGGAGCACAGCTGTGGTAGGCCTATGAGGAGACTGAATGAGCGGCAGTGGAACGGTCGTTCTATTATAAGCCTAGTCAATACATGTACAGCGTAGAGGAAGAGCAATGTCGCTCTCGTTGTCATAGTACGGTATGTTCGTCCGCGGGGTGGCGGGGTGTGGAACGGTTGTTCTATTCTCAGCCTTTATTAGTCAACAGAGGGTCAAAGTGGCAACGTGCGTGGTGTAGCTACCTTACAAAAATGAGGACGGACGACAACCGCGTTCAAAGAAGCCGAAACAAAGCACAGCAGATTGAAGAATGATGAATCGATTCGACGGTTCACTTGCAGGAGCTGGCTAGCTATACTGCAAATGGAACCAAGTAGTTGTCAACGGTATCGGAACTTGCTGAGAGCGAAGCAAGCGGGACATCGAACCTACAGAAAGCTGGATTAGTACAGTGTACCCTGGCTAGCTACTAGCTAGCGGGTAGCTAGTAGCTAGCCAGAGCATGCTTCCTGCACCTAGTACCAGGTACCGTAGCCAGATGCACGTTGGAGAGACTTACCAATGAAGGACTGTCATTCTACACTCCCCACTCCCCACAGACGCATCGATATAAAGCCAGAAACTTCTTCTTTCAGTGTCTGCGAAGCCAGAACCGGTACCAGTGCAGCCCAACTGCTTCCGGCATTTTGGAGTATCTTTTGATGTGACACTAACTGTCACTCGCTGTATCTTTGGCCTTGATCGGCATTTGACGGCTGACGAAGCCATGCTGTAGGAAGCCCAATCAACAAAATCAAAAAACACTCTTCTTGTCTTCTTGTTCTATCCTTCTTGCCACCGTCAAAAATCCAATCTTCCTCCTTTGACAACCTTTTGCTTGGGTAAGTGGAACCATGAAAAGCTCTCTGTGTGGCCGGTGGTCGAAAACTGGAGTTTCTCTGTCTGTTTCGAAAGGAGTGTTTTTCTTATCACACGATTATACCCAAGATCCGTCGCAGGATATCTCGTGTCAAAACTACAGGACTCACATGGTTCTTTTTTTTCTTCTTGGACTTCGCACAATATATTACAGAACCAACATGATGATTAGTCGCAGTGTGATTATTGCCTGTCTCCTGGCCGGTTCCAGCTCCGCCTTTGCTGTTCAGCAGCCATCCCCACCGGCGTTCGCCGTCCGATCCAATGTCCTTCAATCATCCAATGTTCTTCGAATGTCGGGTGGCGATGCTCCCGAACTAAGCGTAAGAAGAAAAAGTTTGAAAAAGAATGAAGCTTTGAATCCTGCCATCAAGGAACTTACGGAGTTCATTGATATTTTCTGTTTTCTTCTTCCATACATTTATATTTTAGCCACCACCTGCTCTCTATCAGGGGGCCGTTGCCGCTGGAGTCAAGAAGGCTCAAAATTCCTTTGGAAATATTTTCAAACTCGGAATTGTTGCTGGATGTCACATTGCTTTTGGGGCTTTTCTGGCCATTAGCGTTGGTGGAGCATGCCCAGGCATTGCTGCAGAAAACCCTGGTCTTCAAAAGGTACGTGTTTCGAAAAAAGGATTTGACAAAAGTCTAGTTAATTCCCCTCCAAATGTATATATGCTCAGTTGGTATGGTTCAATACCTCCTTTTATTGGCATTCCAGATTATCATGGGTGCTTTTGGCCTTCCTTTTGGACTGATCATGACCTTGGTTTCTGGAGCTGAATTATTTACTGGAAACACAGCCCTTGTCACAGCAGCTTGGATGGAAGGAAAGGTCAAGAAGGAAGAACTGACCAAGAATTGGGTTGCTTCCTATCTAGGAAACTTTGTTGGATCCCTTATCATGGCGTACCTGGTCTACAAGGGGAAAACTCTTGGAGCTCTCCCCGGTGCTGTGAATATTGCCACTGCCAAGTGTGCTGTACCTTTTGAAGTTGCCTTCATTCGTGGCATTCTCTGTAACTGGCTCGTGTGCATGGCTGTGTACATGGCCTCAGGATGCAAGTCTATGGCTGGAAAAATGACTGCTGTTTGGTTCCCCATCTCAGCATTTGTTGCCCTTGTAAGTTTGGTGTTTTGACTGCTGGTCTTGGTTCTTTTAAAAATATTGCCTCGACAAATGCACTCATCTTCTGCCGGTTGCATGTTCCAACTCTTTCATTTGATAGGGTCTTGACCACTCTGTTGCCAACATGTTCATCATTCCTCTGGGAATCTTTCGAGGAGCTGAAATTACAATTGCTCAAATGTTCACCAAGAACCTTATTCCTGTGACTCTGGGAAACATCGTTGGAGGTGCCCTCTGTGTCATGGCTCCATTTGGAACCACTATGGGTGGATGGTTCAAGAAGAGTGACTAAGACTGAACTGATTGCGTGTATCTACTAGTATCATAAGATAGCAAACAGTGACTGAACAAAGTAAATTGCTGAGACAAGCTCACAAACTGCCAATCGCTGAGACAAAGGCTAGGCTCTGTGGTAACTTTTTGGCTTGACTAACTTTTTCATCCACATTGGAATCATCAGTGTTTGGGCTATTATGGTACTTGTGTGCCATCTCCGGGAGTGAAAAGTACCTTGCAACCTCCTAATGGAACAATCAGATACATAGACCCACTTTGCCTTGGGCTTAGTCTTCCGGAAGCTGCTTTATGAATAACAAGTGCACGTTGTAGTTGCTATTGGGTGATTGCCCCCTCTCGAAGCACACAAAGCAGTTGTTTCATGGTCAGCTGCGTTTGTTCAACCTTTGGAACCGAAAAAATGGCCGTTGTTTTCATTGAAATGCTGCATCAGACACAGACAACTACCTGGGACCAGCTAGCACTTGGTTCGATGCTTGGTGACTTGCTTGGGCTGAAACCGGGCTCCATTGTGGGGGTGGTCACTGGGGATTATCCCGGATGTCGCCCCAGAGTACCAGGCGAGAGCCGAAGATACACACCGGAAAGTACTACTAGCCGCCGGTTTTGTGTTCCATGCAGATGAACGATGCACTGCAGCCACTCAAGGTATCGCAGAGCAAGTCGTGTACATGTAAGTAATGGTGGCTGCTCCACTGCTGTGCGTGTTTGGTGGCTTTTGTGATCAGGCTAGATAGAGGCAACTACTACGGTAGCTAGGCAGTAGCGGCGTGACTGCTTGGGAAGCACAGGAAAGCCTGACCGACTGAAACTCACCAGCTGGTATGTACAATGGAGCCGAGCCCACGATGAGTGCCTGGGCTGTGGTGTGGAGGCTTGATTCTTTGACTGTTCGAGGTGAATTTTGGGCACGCATCCTACCACGCTGACGCTGATCGGTCCATCTCCAAACCCCTCCAGTGGACTGATTAATCATTCGACTTCTACATACTCTGACTAGAAACTGGGCCGGAGAGACTACATGTACAACTTTACAATCTTTCCCAACTCTTTTCGACTAGCTAGGTATCTTTTAAATTCTACGTTTTGACTTCATCTCTGGAACGCATCGAAGTAGTGACTTACATGCCATCGGTAAGAGTCTGGAACTCCTGCTTCATTTCGTCAACGAGAAGACCGTAGCCCTTGTTGATATCATTAGTGTGCGACTTGGGATCCACATACTTGGTGTCAACCACCTTCTGGATAATGGGGGCCAGAGCAGTCTTGATGTGGGCGTATGTGAGCTTGGACGTCGCAGGAGAGTCCGCGATGGCCTTCTGGCAGAGATCGTAGAAAGTGATAATGACCTTCAACATACCAACCGTCTTGGGCAGAGGGCAGGTGTAATCGTGCTCGGTAAAGGCGTTTTGGGCAAGGAAATCCTCGCGGATAAGTTTAGCAACTTCCATGATAACCTTCTGATCCTCAGACAAACTCTCTTTTCCTACCAGCTGGACAATCTCGCTCAAGTTGTCCTCCTGCTGCAAGATGGTACGTGCTTGGTTTCGGAGGTAACTGTATTGCGAATCCTGTTTGTAACAGTCAAAAGCATTCGTCAGGGACACCGTTCTCCAAACGATCTGACAAACAATCAACGAGATTTTTGGCTTACCAGGTTATTGAAATAAGGCTCAAGGACCTGCATGTATTTGGTGTAGGAGATGAGCCAGTTGAGACTGGGGAAGTGCTTACGCTGAGCGAGCTTCTTATCCAATCCCCAGAAGACTTGTACAATGGAAAGTGTTGCGGCTGTAACAGGATCGGAGAAATCTCCACCAGGAGGCGAGACGGCTCCAACGACGGAAACAGTACCTTCGCGGTCGGGGGATCCCAAGCAAGAGACGCGGCCGGCACGTTCGTAGAAAGCAGCCAGACGGGCACCCAAATAGGCTGGGTAACCAGAATCGGCAGGCATCTCTCCAAGACGTCCCGAAATCTCACGAAGAGCTTCGGCCCATCGAGAAGTGGAGTCAGCCATCATGGAAACATTCATTCCTTGATCGCGGAAGTACTCGGCAAGAGTGATACCAGTGTAAATAGAAGCCTCACGAGCAGCGACAGGCATGTTCGATGTGTTGGCAACTAGAGTAGTTCGCTTCATGATTCCGACTTCCTTCTCCTTTCCGGTTTCCTTGTCATTGATAGTCATGGTCAACTCTGGGAAGTCACACAACACTTCCGCCATCTCGTTACCACGCTCTCCGCAACCAACATAGACAATGGCGTCAGAGTTGGAGAACTTGGAAAGAGACTGACTAATGACAGTCTTTCCGCAACCAAAAGCTCCTGGCACGGCACAGGTTCCTCCCAGGACAGATGGGAAAAGACCATCAATGACACGCAGTCCGGTGATTAGGGGAGCATTTCCTGGCAACTTTTCGGTAATGGGACGAGGACGACGCACGGGCCAAAAGTGGCTGAGGGTGAGCTTGTGTGTCTTGTTTTGGGCTTCGTTAAAGACCTCCATGACGACATCATCCACCGAGAAGGTTTCCTTTCCATCCGTTCCTGTGGTGTTGATCTTCTTAACAGTTCCGTATACGTTGGGTGGACAGAGCACCTTGTGGCAGTCAATGATTTCGTTCTCGTAGACTTCTCCAATCACATCTCCTCCAGTAATGGGCTGTCCCTCCTTGAAGGATCCAGGAGTGAATGTCCATCGGATATCACGGCTCAAACAGGGCACATCCACACCCTTGGGCACGTAGACATCACCGGTGCCTTGGAAAATACTCTCCAAAGGACGCTGAATACCATCGAAAATGGTTCCCATGATTCCAGGACCCAATTCCACCGAAAGAGGCTGCTTCTTACGAAGGACGGGGTCACCAACGGTAAGACCACTGGTATCCTCGTAGACCTGAATGGAGGCGGTGTCTCCCTCGAGCTTGATGATTTCTCCGACCAACTTGGAGTGACCGACACGAACCAATTCGTACATGGCCGCTCCACTCATGTTGTCGGCGACAACAAGAGGTCCGGAGACCTTGAAGATGAAACCATAATCACTCTCTTTCTCGTACTCGTTTGACATGGTTCAAGTTGTTATTAGCAATAGATAGATGATAGACTCGACTCTACTCTACTTTCGCCACTTTGACAGCAACAAAAGGACAAATGGATAATGGACGATGGTGGTGCCATTAGTACGCTACTGGTACCGGTAAGAGACCGCAACGGATCTCTTCGATCCAAGAGCACCGGCATGGTTTCGCTGATGCTTAAGTATCTTTTGCTGGCCTGCTCGGTTGAGAATTGATCCACAAGCAAGGATGCCTCAGCCGCTTTGTCGGCTTTAGATACGGTGGCACGTCGAGGAATTCGCACACCGTTCCCCAGTGCTCGCAACGCGAACTACATACATGTAGCTAGAAGTCATTGCACAAGGACGTGCCGTACCGGAACAGTACCGGTTCCTGGTACCGTACCGATGTCGATTTGTTGAAGGGGCTCTCATTACAGTAGTCTAGAGTTCTGGATCCATGATTTCTTTTTTTTTAATAAACACCCCATGGGAAGCTGTCTGCCATCAAAGAGCTGAGTTCGTTCTGGGGGCTTTCTCTCTCATTTGTTTCGGTTGTCTAAAGCATTGCAATTCTCAAATAAATAGTTAACAAACGCTGCAAGCAAAGAACGAAGCACGAACAAGCCCCACTACCTATCATCCGAGACGACCATGAACGAATCCGAAAACGAGAAAGCTTTCAAAAGCGGGGGACGGGATCCAGAGGGCCGTGTTGGAGCCTTTGGCGAAACGGACCGGCGGCAGGAGACTCCGATCGGGACAAATGAAGCCAACGCAAGAGGCAACACCTCCGAGACAGCAACCATGAAGCAATCCAAAGAGAAGAAAGGGTTGCGAAACAGTGGCCGTGTCGGAGCCATCCATGAAACAGGCCGGGAGCAAACTACAATGCATCCTGTTTCCACCACGCCCATCTACCATGGCTTGGGTCGATCTTCAGTCCATGAGAAGAAGGAAGCTGTATCTCAGAGTCAACGGCAAACTACACTGCAGCCTGTTTCCACCCCTTCTGTCTACCATGGGTTGGGTCGATCTTCAGTGAATGAGAAGAAAGAAACTGCCCCTCATAGTCAGCACCAAACCACGGCAGCCTGTTTCCACCCCTCCTGTCTACCATGGCTTGCACCGATCTTCAGTCCATGAGAAGAAGGAAGCTGTGTCTCAGAGTCAGCACCAAACCACACGGCAGCCTGTTTCCACCCCTTCTGTCTACCATGGGTTGGGTCGATCTTCAGTCCATGAGAAGAAGGAGACTGCCCATCAACACTACAGTATGGCACATCATGACTATTTGCAAAGACCTTGTGAGAATTCAAGTCTCCACAGCCTAGACCCTATTGGAGATGACCCTTCCAATGGGGGGCTAATTGACGATGGAGACATTTCAATGGAGCAGCATCCCAACACCCAACAATGGGGAAATGATCAGATTATTGGGGGAGACATTGCAATGGAGCAGCATCCCAACACCCAACAATGGGGAAATAATCAGATTCTTGGTGGAGATAATGTTATGGAGCAACATCCCAACAACCAACATGGGGAGGAACCCAGTGGTCAGATTCTTGACAGTGCAGCAGTAGCAGGAAGGGACGATCAGCCATCTGGCCTGAATTTTTTGGAAAACACAAGCTTTTCAAGTGATGATGCCTCGGATGAATCCAACTTTGTCAATGACGACCATGATGTAAATGATCTAGAGGCAAATCCACCTATGACTATGGAACCTTCGACCATAAGCACCTCCGCCAATATTGATAACGATGAGGGTCTTGTGGAAGCCAGGCCTGTGGCAGAGGATCATCTTAGTCGATTGAACCTGATGGAAGCAACACCATTTGATTTGGCTGCCGATGAACGGCGCAAAGCAGGCCTCAGGCATACACGAATGCTCCAACAGATTACTCTTAGTTTGGGCCTAACATTTCTTTTCTTGCTGATTACTCTGGGAGCACTAGTGGGTGTATTCTACTTTGGTCAGCAAGAGCCAGATACTGTGGTTGTCAATGCAACAGCCGCACCACTGGTGAGCAACCAGACCAGTGCACCTGAACTGAATGTTACTCTCATACCAACCCCTGCACCCACTGAGGATCCCCTTGATGGCCTCATCTCTGAGTTGCCCAACATCACTCTTGAAAGGCTTGAGGACCATGAAGGGCCTCCAAGTCAGGCCATAGACTGGCTTTTGCAGCACCCTGATATTGCCAACATGACAGAACCAAGAAAGAAGCAGCTCTTTGCTCTCGCAACATTCTACTTCTCCATGGGAGGTCCCTACTGGCCTGACAACAGAAACAATGATTGGTTGGACTACAGCAAGCATGAGTGTAACTGAGTTTTTTTGGCTCGTTTGATGATTTTGGGTACTCAGGTGCTTTTGAAAGTGTTTACAACATCGATGGCCAAACATGCAACAGCAGTACTCAGGAATTCCAGTATTTGACGCTGTCACTGAAGCCCTCTGCAGTCAGTACCAATGTTAGCGTGCAGATCCCCCCAGAGCTCTCTTTGTTGACAGGTCTCAAGTTTGTTTGGCTTTACAATATGACAATCACTGGCACTCTGTCATCTGAACTAGGGCTGCTCCAGTCAGTTGCAAACATGCAGTTACAGCTCAACTCCATTTCAGGCACTATCCCTGTTGAACTTGCAGAAATGTCAAGCTTGGATTATCTTGATCTCAGTTCCAACATGTTAACTGGCACATTGCCCTCGCAATTGGCCAACTTAGTCAGGTTGGCATCGTTGGTTGTCGGTGACAATGCCTTGGTGGGACCACTGCCAAGTGAACTGGCGTTGATGCCTGAACTTGAGTCATTTGTGGCAAATGACAATCCATTGGCAGCAACCCTTCCACAGAAATTGATGGAAGCACCAAATCTGAGCGTTTTGGCACTTTATAATACTCAGATGTCTGGTTCAATCCCATTATCCATTGGCCGTGCAAACAGCTTGGTGACACTGGTGTTGCATACCAACCAACTGACTGGAATCATTCCAAGCGAGCTGGGGTTGCTATCCAGGCTACAGCTGTAGAGACACTTGATTTGAGCCAGAATACATTGAAGGGATCCTTGCCTGAAAGCTTAGGAGGATTTAGCAGTTCTTTGGAGATCCTGATGTTGCAGACCAATGCACTGACTGGAACCGTGCCAAGTGAGCTGGGGTTGCTATCCAAGTTAGATAAAATTGATTTGGGTCAGAATGCTTTGAAGGGACCGTTGCCTGAAAGTATTGGTCAGATGAGGAGCTTGAGATACTTCTCAACCACCAGCTCACCATTAACGGGTGTCATTCCAAGCACCATTGGCATGCTTAGCAGTTTGACTGGACTGTATCTCAGTGATTCCTACTTCACAGGCACAATCCCAAGTGACATTGGACTGCTCAGAAATGTTGAGGATTTCCTGCTAAATGCCAACCCATTCCTGTCTGGTCCCATCCCATCGGAAGTTGGCATGTTGCAAAAGTGCCGAAATCTTCACTTGACCTCTTCTCCCCTTTCAGGAAGCATACCCACTGAGGTAGGACTGATGTCCAGCTTAGATTTTCTTGGCTTCACACAAATGCACCTTTCTGGTCAGATCCCAAGCCAGCTGGGCCTTCTTTCAAGGGCAGATTGGCTAGAATTTGATTTCAATGGTCTGACTGGAACTGTGCCTTCTTCTCTGGGGTTGCTTGCCAATGTCACATACTTGTCCATGTGGAAAACAATCTTTCAGGGCCATTACCCTCGGAACTTGCACTGTTGCCAGAGTTGGATAATCTCGATGTTGCATCCAACACAATCACTGGGAGCCTTCCCACCGAGTTTGGTGAACTGGAAAAAAATGTTATGGTTTTCCGTTGCCAACAACCTACTGACAGGGATGCTACCCAGCTACCCAGAGTTTTTGGGAAACATACAAGTGCTGTTGCTGGCTGATAACCAATTTTCTGGTGCCATCCCTTCCGAGTTTGGCCTCATGACAAATGCTTGGTCAATCAGGCTAGAAGACAACCCTCTCCTTACTGGGACCATTCCAAAGGAATTGGAGAATCTCGTCCTGCACCACAATCTAGGTGCTCTTCGTCTTGAGGGCTCCTTAGGGTTGTTTGGGACCATTCCACCAGGCTTGTGTGGATTGCAGAATGAAAGCTGTTTCTTCTCACCATGGGAACTACAGTGCAGGTTGGGATTTGATTGCTCAACGAAGCTCTGTGGATGCGACTGTCAGTGCAGTAGTCTTTGATTGCTTGTGTTACTGCACAAGGTAGCTTGTCTGTTTTTAAACTGTGATTCTCCCGCAGCCCCCCAAGGAAGCTATTGTAGAGATCATATCAGTAATGGTAGCATCCCGGAAGATAGCCGAGCGAAAACGGAAAGCAAAGGTATCTCGATCATGCTGCAAGCTAGCTATTAGAACTATTCCAGAAGGGTCGTGTGAGGAAGCTACCAAACGGCGTAGCATTAAAGCTTCTGGTTCGGTGGATGGCGGGGAAGCTGGCTCTGGTATCCTTGTTCAAGCAGCCGGAGGTACGACACCCGCGTCTTCCGGTGGTTTTTGATCTTGCCCATGCCTCGTTCCCCTTTTCAGCTGAAGGTTGTTCAGTGATACGGCATGGAACGGTGATACGGCATGGAACGGTGATACAGCATGGAAACCAACCTCATTCGTTGTCGTGTGGCGGAGAGCAAATCAAATTGAAATGATCACAAAACTAAAGCAATCAAGCAGGTCGAAACGCAAACGTCTTGTAAGGAGGGGAGAACTTGCTTTGAAAGGATATGACCGGCTCCAGACCTTCGACTCGTTCCTTGTGACTCTTCAAAATAGGGTATTCCTCCAGTAATGATTCTGAAAATCCATCCGCCATAAGGTTGTTCGCACTGCTATGGAGGTCCATTGCTTGCTCCTGCAGCTTGGCCCCTGATATGATTGAATCGAGAAAGTTGTAGAGACAAAGATCCGCAATCGTCACCTTCGGTCCAACGAGCCAGTGACTATCCGGGTTGTCTGATATCGCTTTCTCAAAGTACGCTAGATACTGTATCCGTTACAAAGCAATATCCGCAAGGCGTCAGGAAGTACTCAAGAGATCAAGGGAAGCGACAAGCTTTCCAACAATTTAGGACTTACAAACGGAAGGCCCTGTCCCTTATTTTTTGCTATGCGACGTCGGACACTCCACGTCTCGTTCTCTGTCCACGCATTTCCAGACATAAAACGTTGAATGGTTTCATCGGAGGGTATGCTGATCAAGTTTTGAATCTCAATTATCGTCTCAATCATTGATTCTACCTCCAGAGCCCTTATCGAGTTGTGTGGGTACATGTCCCCAAGGGTTCCAAGATAACGCAGGATAGCCATAGGTTGGCTAACCAATTTCTTTTCGCCAGACTCTTCGATTTCCAATACGGGTAGCTGGGACTCCTTGACCCGTCGTTCGTACACATTCCTCCACTCTTGGCTGTCAGTGTCGATAACCTTGTTTGTGAACGGTATCTTCAGAAACAAATACGAGTGAGCAGGCATTTCGCAACTTCAACTGCAAAACCTTTTTTGTTCATACCTTGCCGAGTGCGGCGGCTAACCTCAAAGGCTGTGTGTTTGGGGTATTCTCAGCATGAGTCAAAGTGAATCTTGGAAGTTTGGAAGGCTCTATCTTTGCCACCGCGGGCTTTTCACGGCGAGGACCAACACCATCGGACCCAGTATCAGCCCCCGTGGGGGAGGTAAAAGATTCGTAGGGGTGAGGGCACTGGGAGCGAAACTGTGACACTTCTTTGATCTCTTCAACTCGTTCCTTGTGCAGCTCAAGGAGAGGATGACCTTGAAGGATATCACCCGGTATTCCGACCAAGGAATTTCCATTGAGACAGGCTTCAAATGACCCGCCCAGCCAACAGAGCAGCTGGTACAAACGCAAGTCTGCAATTGTCAGCTTGTTTTGGGCAATCCAACCACCATACCTGGAAAAGTTTTGCTCCAGCTCTCGTTCGAAAAAGGATAGAAACTGCGATTTGGGGTTAGAAACCATCACAAAGGAGCCGGGCGAAACGCACGAAGACAGATTACGCACACTGCGAATACCGTTGGCTTCATCCTCCACCATTCGCTGTCTCATCGATACGCACTCCTCGTCCGTGAATGCTTTGAACTCTAAAATCGATCGGCTGGACGCGCGACAAGTCAACTCAATCATTCTCAGCACATCGCCCACACAGTCACACATCGAATCGACCAAGAGGCGTTCCATTGGATCGTCAGGGTAAACTTGGCCGAGATGGCCCAAATAGCGGAGAATCGCCATTGACTGAGGCACGATGAGTCGTCTGTTGTGTGCCTCTTCGATTTCCAACACGGGTAGTTGGCCCAGTGGAGCCATGTGTTTGTATGCAGTGTCTCCTTTTCCCGCCGACAGATTTGAGAATGGAATCTAAATCAACTTTTCAGCAAGGGAGGACAGTGCAGCGACAAGAAACCAAGAGCGTGCCAACTATCTGACTTACGTGACCAATCACAGCCGCCAATCTGATACTTTCAGCTCGTCCGGGGGTGCTGAAATAGAAGACAAGGGGCCTCTTCTTTTTGGGCGACGGGTCATCGTCAGAGTCTTCCTCCTCCTCGATGCCGGTCAGGAGGCTCCTCAGAGAATCGCCCCGAAAAACCTCCGGGCGTTCCTTTAATGACTGAGGAACAGGGGTAACGATACCTTCAGTAGGGTTTTGCAGGTAATCCGGTGCCTCCTCTTCTTCGTCCTCAAGGCCTTCCAAATTCTCAAGGCCTTCCACTATCGAGAAAAGCGCAATAAGTTCAGGTACTCGACTCCCTCCTTGACAGAATCTCGCTAGGTGCCACTACATACCTTTGAACGATGATTTCATGGATTCCCGTGGATTGTTCGAAGGAAATCGCTTCGTCCCTTTCGGAGACCCAGAAAGGTGGCGCTTGACCTTCTTCTGTCGTTTCGGCGTGTTTTCCTTGCTTGAAGGCTTCTGACTCTTCTGCTTCGAAGATTTTTCGCTTGTGGACGATGACTTCGTCTTCGATGTTTTCCCCTCTTCGTCCTTGTCCTTGGCTTTAGAGGAGCCTTCTTTAGATGCTTCCGTTCGGCTCGACGAGCTCTTTCCCGACTTCGGTTCAGTATCATCTTCCTTCGGCTTCCCAGTTGCTTTCGATAAAGACTTTTCACTTGACTTCTTCGTCGAGGAAGCGCGAGGTGTATTTGGTGGGAGCTTTGGTGGAACCATCGTGTCTGATTCTCGCTTGGACTTCTTCTTTTTCTTCTTTTTGTCTTTCTTTTTCTTATGCTTTTTCTTTTTGTCGGCTTTTTTCTTTCGCGCCGTTGGATCAGACGAAGACAGCTCTTTCTCTTTTTCCAAAGCTGATTGCAGCCGATTCTTCAACCCCTCGAGACCATGCTCCACAGATGTCGTGGAGGCTTCATCGTCGAAAGAATCAGTTGAAGAGTCATCAAATAACTCGTTTGCCTTCTTGCTACCTAGATTCAACAGATACGATGCGCCTGGTTGGTCTTCCGAGTCTTCGCTTTCGTCGGAAAAACCCAAATCGTCGTCTTCGTCGTCGTCAATAATAATGGGTCGAGTCCTCGGAGGAAGCGACATGCCTCGCGATTTCCGCCTCGGAAGTTCTTCCTCGGCTTCATCTGAATCGAAGCTAGGTTTTCGTCTGAGCGGCGCAGACATCATTTTGTCCGTTTTCTTGGCTGGCTGGGAAGGCTCGTTGTCGTCTTTGCTGGATCGTCTCTTTGCCGGCGATGGGGCCGAAAAACCCGGGTGCCTTGGGAGGTGATCAGAGCTCTTGCTCCTTGCAACGTTCTTTGGCAAGTGATCTGCGCTAAGCCGTCGCCTTGCGCCTCTGGGAAGGTTGTCGGATAATTGGTTTCCAGAAGACTCAGAATCATCATAGGGTACAAAATCGAAGGAAGAGTAAGGTGACTGAAACTGCTCCCGGAAGCGAACGACTGAAATATGGTTTTCAATGGCTTCTCTATGCTTTCGAAGGAGAGGATACTTTTCAAGTATCGACGAGTCAAACATGTATGCATCCCCCCCTTGTACACCGCCATCAAGCCCGCCGTTCAGCCAGGAGCTCAAGTGGTACACTGATAAATCAGCCACCGTCATATTCGATCCAACAAGCCAACCAGCAAGTTTGTTCTCTTCGAGAACGCTCTCAAAGTATTTCAAGTACTGACGGAACAGTGAGACATCACGCCGAGAAAGTTGACCAAGGACAGAAAACTAGGAACACATACCTTTGGAAGACCACGATCTTCATTTTCTAAGAGTCTTTTCCGGATGGGTGGGATCTCTTCCTCCTTTTTCAAAACATCAAGGATAAGCAGTTTTACAACTCCTGAAACCGTCATTTCGACCAGTCTCGTGGCCTCCACAATTGTCTCGATCATAAACTCAACTTGAGCGGATTCTACTTCGTCAAAAGGGTACAGCCCCCCCAATTTCCCAATATATCGCAGTATGGCAGTGGATTGTGGTGCGGTGACCAAGTCTTTGCCGGGTTGAACGGCCAATAATGTCGGTAGCTGACCCAAGGGACTGTGTCGCTTGACCATTGCCCAATCTTCCTTCGCAATAACACGGTTTGTAAACGGAACCTTCCCGATTGCAGCCGCCAGACGAATTGGTTCCGCTCGAGCGGATGTTTCAAAGTATGACAGCGTGAGCCTCGGAAATGTTGTGGCGGACCATTTCCCCCTTGGTTCCGCGTCTGATCGTCCATCTGTTGTTGGGTGCATGGGTGAATAATTGGCTTCTCCCAGACGAGTTCGACGGCCGATGGTACGGAATTCAAAGGGCGGTCGGTACTCAAATACAGAATAGGGAGGCAAGTACTTGGCTCGCCAGGATAGGACTTCTGGAAGTGTTTCAATCTGCATCTTGTGTTTGAGTAGCAGTGGGTAGTTTTCTACCAATGACGTTTCAATCCCCTTGAGCAAGCTAGGACCATCACCCTCACCGATTCCGCCACTGATCCAACATACGAGTTGATTCAACTTGAGATCCGCAATGCTTACACTTTTCCCCACCAGCCATTTGCTTCCATTATTCTCTCCGTTTTCTCTCAGAGCCCGTTCAAAGAAGGAAAGATACTAGAAAGTGGACCACGTTTGAGAGAGATTAGAACAATAGAAGAAGGCAAAGCAACTTGATTGACTCGACTCAGTGAATCAACTAACTCACGTGTGGTAGACCAGCACTCGGGTCACTGGCAATTTTCTCTCGAATTTTGAGGAACTCTTCATCCGTCCAAGGAGACTCTGATAAGAGGGAGTCTACAGCCCCAGTCGCTGACACTTCCAATGGCTTAAGAGCCTCAGATACAGCATCAATCATGTATTCCACCTGGAGCCCTTCCAAAGGATCAGCAGGATACAGCCCCCCTCGTCTACCCAGGTAGTTCAAAATGGCATTCCGCTGAGAGATCACCTGCTTTTCTTTCCCTTTAACCTCAATTTCCAACACAGGCAGATTGTATCTAGGATCCACCTCTTTTCCAGGCGGTGGTTTCCATTCTTTCTTTTCAATAGCTTTGTTTTTGAAGGGTATCTGAGCTCGACGGGAACGGAAGTGTTAGTACAGTATCATACAAGGGTATGATACAAGGGTATCAGAGGATAAGAATGCAACCAAAACAAGCCTTGTCTCACTTTTCCAATAGCCGCCGCGAGCCTTAGCGTGTCCGCGCTAGCTGAGAATTTGTAATAGGTTAGCGTGAGCTTCGGGGCCCGTTCCGTCATGGTTCCTTCCACCCCCAGCAAGGTGCCAGACAACCGTCCCGAAAAAGCAATCGACCTTGGGTCTAGTGGTATTCATTCAGCACAGCCCAGGTTTGCTCCTCGTTTCCCTGATCAACAAAGATGTCAAGTGAATGGTTCAAGGTTCATGCATGCATTGGCATGGACGATTACACGGACGCCATCTCAATGGCTCGATTGACGGAGAGAATAACAAGATCCAAAGAGGTGGTGGTGTATCTTTGTCGTTGTTTGTGCTTAGTGTTGGGTCAGCAAGCAGCTGTACCAAAAAATGGAGGATTTAGGAAGGTAGCCCCTAATTAACACCGTGACAATGGAAAGCTTTAATCAACACTACTCAAAGAAAATAGGACAGTCTCATTGATGTCCTTGTCTTTCTCGTGACTTGCGGGACCAGTTCGTTGTTCATGGTTGTTCATGCTGTGTTGTGTTCACTCACAGCCGCGCTGTGGATTGTGGATCCATTTTATGATGCATACTGACGGTACTGTACTGTATGCAAGTGCATACTAGTACCGGTTAGCTGGATGATATGACACGGCATGGTGGCGCCTCCTAGATAGCATGCTCGCTACCATATACTACTAGTGACATACCGTATGGCCATCATACCGTAATAAGTAATAGTACGCATTTTGCTTGCCATACAATATCATATTATTGAAGGGGGGTTTTAGTAAAAAGCAAGGACCCACGGAATTGCCAAACACACCAGGATGTGATAGCATGGCTCAAAGAGGACAACAACTGTCACGTCCTGATGGAACATACACGTAGTAGTGTGGGTGCCAACAAATCATTAGTTAGTCCACGTTGGATCTCCTATCTAGCTAGCTTGCTTTCATAGTTTTCAGCTTTGTTGTGCTGTCTTCCTCCTACTTGTACTAGCTAGACTACAGTAGCTAGTTCAAGACTTTATCCACCTTCTCTCCCTTGGGCCAGTTACCATCACTGCGGTGCTACATGACAGTACAGTCGTACCTGTTGGCAGACGCACAAAACTTAAATTATTTCATTCATTTTATATTCTTGTCATTATGATGATGATGTAGTCATTCTTCTGTCACTTGTCTGCTTCGTTGACTCGACTCACGCTCGCACACGTACGTTCGTTATGGTTGCTTGTGCAAGCAATGAATGAAACGTATGGAGTGATTCGATGATGTAAAATAAAGTTCTTATACAGCACCATGCATCATCATGACATTGGCGACACGCAAAAATCCAGCAATATTGGATCCGGCAAAGAGATCCCCTCGCGCATTGAATTCTCGGGCCGTATCCTTGACATCGGTGTAGATTCTCTTGACATTTTCTTTGAGTTCCGCATCCGTGGCACCTTCTCCTAACGCATGAACAATGGCATTGCCCGTGAGTGTGGCCGTGTGGGGTCCGTAGAGGAGTCCTCTCTTTTTCAAAATCTTGCGTGCATTGGGGGTGACACAGTTGTGTCCCCCTTCAATGACGCCTTGACATCCATTGTCGGCCAATGCATTGACGGCGAGTTCATCAATATCGTCCATGGCGCCACAGGGGAAACACAAATCACATCCAATATCGAGCAAGTGGTCGGGGGTGTTGAATTGTGCTGTGGTGGATGAAATAATGTATCTGCCTAAAAGTGCTCCACGTTCTTCCTTGATTTGATTGATAATATTGAATTTTCCTTCGGTGAATCCGTCTTCTTCGTATACATGTCCACTAGGATCGGAGAATGTAATGGGAATGGCTCCGTACTCAATGAGTTTTTCGGCGACGGACCGTGCGACCTTTCCGGCTCCAATGATCATGCATCGTTTTCCTTGGAGCGAGTCGCCCTTGTCGGCCAACATTTCGGCAGCCATGTGGACCGTGCTGAAACCGGGGGCCTAATGAATGACCATAATAATGACGAATAGAAGGAAAAGAAAGTTGGTAGGTAGTGGTGAGTGAGTGAGTAAGCAATCCAAGAATGTGTTGTAGGTATGCACATGCATATATGATGGTGTACGTACCTTTTCAAATAATGTGTTGGATGTGGAAAGAAAGGGTCGTCCGGAATTACCCTGCTTCATACCAATTCGCTTGTACTGTCCGAACAGATATCCCATTTCCTTCTGTCCCACACCCATGCCCATCCAGGGACTATCTACATCGGGTCCAACGTACTTTGCCAATTCGGTCATGTACGATTGACAGAATCGTTGCATTTCGGCTTCCGATTTATCAAATGGATTGAAATCGGATCCTCCCACGGCCGCACCGAAATTGTATCCGGTGAGTGCATTGGACATGACGGCATCGAATCCGAGTGCCTTGATGACACCGGTATTAATGTGATATCCGAGATGCAATCCTCCTTCGTAGGGTCCAATACTAGAGGAATATTGGACACGAAATCCTCGATTCATACGGACAACCCCCAAATCGTCAATCCATGCGACACGGAATTGAATGAACCGCTCGGGTTCCATGAGTGTCTTGGCGACAAAGGCGTATTTGGGATTGCGATCAAAAATGGGCGAGAGACAGTGGAGCGTCGTCGTGACGGAATCAATGTATTCCTTTTCGTGTGAATCTCGACGCATGCATTCCTTGACGAGCAAGTTGGCCGCTTCCATGCCCGTCTTGAAACGGACGTCGCCTTGACGACGAAAGAGTGGTTTGTTGCGCCAGCTCTTGCTGATCTTCATGTTCTGATGGACGCCATCTTCACTCGTAATCAACGATTGCCGAGGAGCTGGAGTGTCACTCAGACTGGAACTGCAGCGAATAGCAGTACTACTAGTACTATTAGTAGTTCTGTGGACCGACAGGAAACGCCGAGTGGCAGACTTGGAAGCTAACATCATCTTGGCAGGTGCTTGTTGTATTTGGGTATAAGATAAGGTATATGCCAACACTTTGTAGCTGACTCTACTCTACCTCTGGTATGAAGAGTAATCAGATGATCCTGGAGTGATGATGGATGGATCAAGGTGAATGAGGATAGACGATGTCTGTCTGTTTATGGTTGAAAGTGCAAGAGATCAAGTGGGAGCTTTACTGTACCGTATTGGCACAACAGCACAGCAACACCGAGAGAACCCAAGGAAGGAAAGCCAAAAGATATGAAAGAACTTTGTGCGGCCAGATGAGAACACAGAAATAAGCCATCAGAGCTACTAAAGCCAATCAAGGAAAAAGATCTTTGGGTGCACGTCATCGTCCTTCGTTTTGACACCTCCCATGGACAAGAGTGTGCGGTTGTGGGATCATGCAACGGGTCGATCGATGACATAGAGACGACCGTTGGACTCTTCCTTTCGAATGAATGGGTTTCTTCTTCTTCTAAGCTATCGATAGCCAGTTACACGGGTACAGTAGTATCTGCCATTGTCTTGGTGGTTTTTGGAGCAGACGATACGAGGCAGACTTCTTCTTTTGTGGAGCTAGAGAAGCTACCTTTTTAGATTGATTGATTGATTGACTGGAAAAGAGTGCCAGATATCAGTATGAGATTTGTTTCAGGAGTGCCCCTTCGTCTCTTTGTTGTCGTTGCTTGTACGACTGGCCTGGTGGGTGCTGCTACTGGTACCAGTACTCCCAGCCGGTCGTTTGCCAGATTTGGAATACCACCCAACAACAAGAGGATGGCCACTTTGGATCATCGCAGCAGCAAACATACCCCTGCTACTAGTAGTACGTTACTGGAAGATGTGTCCAGCAGCAGACTACTTGTAGAAGAAGATAGTGACAATGACAATGAAGATGCATTGTTGGTGGCGACTCGTGGTGGTGGTGGTGCTACTGCCACAGCCACAGATACAGCAGCTTCCGAATCCTTTTTGGCAAGTCTAGTGGAACGGTTCAAGGTCGGATTCTATTTTGCACTCTGGTATGCTCTCAACATTTTCTACAACAGTAAGTTGGACAAGAATTATCAAGCTTGTCAACATATATTTCTCTCCTAACCTTTTTCATTCCATTTCCTGTCCATTCAACAGTCGTCAACAAGAAAGTATTAAATGTCTTACCGGCACCACTGATTGTGGGATCCATTCAATTTGGAGTCGGGGCGCTTTACGTGGCACTCTTGTGGTTGTTGCGATTGCGCGCCAAACCACAACTGAGTAGTCCGCAAGCTCGTCATGCCGTGCGAACCGTAGGATTTTGGCATTGTGTCGGACAACTCTTATCCATGGTCAGTCTCGGAGCTGGACCCGTTTCCTTTACTCATATTGTCAAGGCATTGGAACCATTCTTTAGTGCCCTCGTGGCGGCACTGTATTTTGGAAAATGGATGCATCCCGTCGTCTATGCGACCTTGATTCCCGTCGTGGGAGGTGTCGGATATGCCTGTTTAAAAGAAAAGAGCTTTTCTTGGTTGGCATTTGGAACTGCCATGGGAAGTAACTTGGCATTTGCACTCCGCGCAGTTCTTTCCAAAATTGCCATGAGTTCCAGTGGTGATTTGGGAACCAACTTGACCGCACCCAATATATTTGGACTCGTCACGTGTGCGGCATTTTGGATCTCCATTCCATTGGCACTCGCTACCGAAGGCGTGTCCTTTTGGCAATCGGCAGGGACTACGGCCGATCCCGAGACACTCCAACAAGTGGTATTGCCGTCGTTATGGCAAACGGCCGTGGCGGAACAAGGAACCTTTGCCTTGATAAAAGCCATTGTTCTCTCGGGATTGTTCCACTATCTCAACAATGAAGTCATGTATCTCGCACTCTCCAATGTACATCCCGTCACATTGGCTGTGGGAAATACCATGAAACGAGTCTTTATCATGGTCGCGTCCGTCATGGTCTTTCGAAATCAAATTTCACTACAGGCGGGTATTGGATCCGCCGTGGGTATTTCAGGTGTCTTGCTGTACAGTCTCACCAAACAACACTACGAAAAACTGGAAAAGGAACAAGAGGCACAACAACAACAATCATCATCCAATAATAAAAAACGGGGGAAAGGCAAAACCGAAAAGAAAAAGGCACCCAAGAAGAAAGCTGGCAAGAAGTAAGTACACAAACAGACAAAACAACAATGCGCTATGTAGTTGCTACTGGGGCGGAATGTAAAGGACCCACCCCACTGTACTGTAAACAAGAATACACGTCGTACGATGAATCGTGGGCAGATATATCACAAATGTACGTTCTGGATAGCTAGCTAGCTAGCTAGGTTGCACGCGCCTGTGTAGTATATATTACTACAGTCCATCGTCCCCAACGGGATCCCCATCATCCACGTCAACATCATCCTCTTCGTTGGCTTCCTTTTCTTCCATTCTTCGTCGGGCACGTTCCGACGATTTTCGATGTTGCGCTTGTGCAAATTGCATGGCTTGAGCCGCCTTCCACCGCAAGGTAATATTAAAGGAAGCAAAGAAACAGATCCAACAAGCCAAATAGAGGTTGGATCCGGGGATTTGTTGGTCGAGAACATCCGCGCACGACATTCGTTCGCGGAATATGCTGGGTTGCGGTGTGGGGCTATCGGTTGCGCGAGGTGGTTTGGAAGCGATCGTTCCCGATGCGGCGAATGTGAGGGAAATATTATTCTTGGTGGTGTTGTTGGCTTGTTGTTGTAGTAGTTGTAGGGACCGTTGTTGGTTGTTGTCATCTACTACCGGTAGTACCGTGGAGGCATTATTTGTTGTCGTGTTGGTTTGATTGGATTCGTCCCCGAGAATATCCACCGTCGATTCCAATAAGTCCTCGTCCTCTTCTTCGGCATCAATGAGAAAGTCAGGCGCCAAGCTACTGCCTTGGGACGAATCCATGGTGGCATTGATAAAATCAACCAGAAAATCATCATCATCCTCCAGTATATTGATTGTGTCATTGAGTGGTGGCAATGAGGTTTCTGTGGGAGAGACTGTGGGAGCATTGGTGGGACTGCTGGTATCATTTTGGATCCATGGTGCTTCTGTTGTGTTGTTTTCGTCGTCACCTGTGGGGGAAAGTGTCATGGTCTCTGTTGGGAATTGGGACGGACTGTTGGAAGGTTGCAATGTTTCGTTGGGTATGGGTGGCATGGTGGATTGTAGTTCCTCTGCTGGTTTCTGTGTGCGTTCTTTTTCTTCTTCTCCATCCTCACTACTTTCTTCTTCTTGTGCGCCGTGGGGAATGTAGACGATATGACATTCGTTCTCCCAATTGACATCATATTTGTACTGTGCTCGTGTGGTACATCCCGATCCTCCAATGGTGGCGGCAATGCCTCCTTCCGAGGTTAAAATGGCGACACCGACAATCCATAGCAATATCATAAAGAAGGATGCCGACAGTTCAATCCATCCGCCGACTTGTAGGAATTCGTAATCAATGAATCGATAATGTACCAGAATGAAAAATATGGATACCATGGAAGACCCGAGGCCCAAGGCAATCCCATAGGCAGCGGAACTGCGATGGGTCGTTGCGAGTTTGACGTGCAAATCACAGCAGGTTCCCATGGTGACGAGTGACGATAGGAAGAGTACATACCACGTGCGAAGGGTAGCACTGATTCCCGTGAGTTCTCGAATGGATAGAATGTCCTTGGCAGCGGACCACTTGTCGAGTGTGTAGATACAGGAAAAGAGAGTGAGCCAGGAACTAAAGTAGATATTGTTGGCGACATAGCCCACTCCTTCGACTTGAGTAATGTGGGCTACCCTGGAATAGTAAAGAAAACAAAACAAACAGAGGATTAGAAACAAGGACCAGTCTTTCTTTCTCATTCCAAATTTTAAAAAGAAAGATCAAGTAAGCAAGCAAGTTAAGTGAAACTAACTCACCCCACAATCCACCACAGAGTGAATGCCAATAACGTATATCCCTCTAGTTTCCCATCCAGCGCCTTTTCATAGTTGAGTTTGTCGGCATTTTCCTTGTCAAAGCAATACTGGAATCGGTCCATGGCTAGAATGATGACGGTCAATGCAAATGTGGCAATTCCAAATACCAAGCTGAGTTGGTACATTCCATCAAATTGCGGATTGTCATTTACTTCCAAATTGCTAATGGAAGCAAAGTTGACCAAACTGGTTATGAGAATGTACAGGTACCCCTTCCAACGAGGATTGAATTCCCACTGGCTGCTGTCATCTTTCCCACCAGCCATTTCTCAGTCTTTCTATTCTATTGTCGTACTAGTAATAGGATGATGGCCGACCAACACTTGTAAGTATTGTATCTGAAGACGAAAGGAGGTTACTTCTTTGTTCTTGCTGTTGTTGGTGTTGTCGAGAAAGAATGTGTGTGAGTTCCTGCACGATCCTACATCACACAGATTTTTCTCTCGTGACAGGCGATTCACGAGCATCATCAAAAGAGTTAACAAACTCAGCAACGACGTCAGACTCTCTCGCCCACCACAAAAAGATTTGACACCTTTTTAGAAACCGAGAACCGAGTTTGCAGCTCTGCCACAACACAATCCTTTGGATCGTCCCCCTTATTGTCGGCTCCTCTCCCTCCATAACATCATTACAGTATCTTTTGCCTACCACTAGTAGCTAGCTTTTGCTGCTGGTACGGTAGTAGTCGTCTGAGCTAGCTAGTTAGTTAGGTAGCCAGCGAATCTTATAGCCAGCTATAGTTTCTCTTCTGTGTTCTGTCTACCGGTATCTTCCGGCACTTCTGTTAAGCATGACAAGAGACCGACTTCGAAGGAGACCTGGGACCACAGTGGCGCTTCCAACGGTCCCATTATCCTCCGAGACGACGACAACCACAAAAATCATTCACTATTACCACCCAGTCACTCCGATGAAACACTTCTTTGGGGCACTGGTGATATGTGTCATTTCCTTGGTCGCCAGGACTCATGGGTATGTTACCCTTTGCAATCCACAATCATCACTCCCCTTTATTGGCAAACGGCACCATGGCTGTCATCAGTCACTAAAACAACAACAACAACAACAACAACAACATGTAGGAGTGCCAAGGAGGCACAACAGGAGAAATCATCTACAGATGGTACCATCCTCCGTAGTCGATGGAACCAATCAGACGTCTTCTTCGGCTGCCACTAGTACTGCCATGATGACACACACCAACAACGACATTCCAGTTGCCACTACGAATCATAACAACGGTGCCACCAGTCATCATAATAACGGTGTCGCCACCAATGGAACGCCCCTGCCTCCCTGGCTCTCGGATTTGGTAGTCGACCAAAACGACGACGCGGATACCCCTCAACCCACGGTCAATGGTGGATTCACTCACACCAAATCATCCAGAGCCAAGATATCCGCCGCCAACAAGGGGAAAACACCCTGGAATAAGGGAAAGGGACGATCCGAAGAAGTCAAGGCACGCATCGCGGCGGGAGTCCGAAAACGAAATCGAGAAAAATTCCTACAGAAATTGGCCGACATGGGCATGACCGAAGACGAATACAATGCCCAAGAAGCACAAAAGAAGGCACAGAAGGATGCCGAACGAAAGGCACGACGCACCGAAAAGGGAGGATATCGACTCACCGAAGAAACCAAGAAAAAAATATCCAGCGTACTCAAAACCAAATGGGCCAATGGGGAAGTCAAAAAACGAGTCATTGATCCCGCCAAAGTACGACGCGGATTTACCCATTCCGAAGAAACACGCGCCAAAATCAGTGAATCGCTCCGCAAACGATGGGCTAACGATGACGATTACAGGACCAACATGTTGAACAAAACCATGATTGCCAATAGCAAACAAGATGTACGGCAACGCATCGCCGAGACGCTCAAGAAAAAGTGGGAGGATCCCGTCTTTCGAGCCAACATGACGGCCAAGATGGCCAACCGTCAAAAAGCGAAAAACAAAAAGATGGGAATGTCTCATCGTGAAAAAATATCACAGGCCATCAAGGCCAAGTGGGAAAATGACGAGTATCGAAAACGAGCTACAGAGGGAATGGCCAAACGAAATGCCGAATTGGCCAAGGCACGACCACCGCCCAAACCAAAACCAACCCAGGCACCAGCACGATTGGCGCAACCCAAAGCGCAAAAGGTCAAGGGAGTCAACAATAACAGCAAGAAGCAATCCACAACAGCTGCTCCCATGCTCATGACACCGGCAAAGGTAGGATCCGTCAAGAAGAAGGTTAAGATAAAGAAGAAGAAGAAACAACAACAACCAAAGAAAGCAAAACCCACTGCTGTGGTAGAGTCAGGAGACTCCTTGACAATTGCAGGAGACAAGGAGGATGATAATAAGAACGACAAGAAGAAGCAGAAGAAGGATGACAAGAAGAAGGGTACCAAGGTCAAAAAACGAAGAAAACGAGAAAAGGCTGGCAGTGTGACACGGATGCGGGAAGAACGGCGTGATTTGTACGATCTACTCTATGGTGATGATGAGCAGCCAGAGGATCGGGGAAGTGTGCTGCCCTCCGGAGTCAAGAGTAAACTCGCTACACTGTTCTTTGAAGATGAGAACTTGGATGACTTTGATCCGTACGGGCTGGAAGAAGGATGATTTGTTCATTGCAGTCTAATGGTCAGTCGAGAGTCAAGAGAGCTAGTAGTTTTGTAATAATAGAATTAATAACACCCACCCAACCCAATTCATTCATTCATAGGCTGTAGGTAGATGGAGCAGTCCAGTTCATCAAGCAAACGGGCGCGAGATAAGAATGGTCCATCTGTTGCTAACTAGCTATTTAATTGTGTTTGTACTCTTTGGGGATGGCCGCACAAAGCGGTTGAATCATAAGTGTTCAAAGATCCAGCACTGCTTATGGAGCGTGTTACAGTCTGGCATATCGTTCTCTGCAAACTAGAAGAACGAGTGTTGCCAAAGTTGCCAAAACCGCAACCAGGGAAGTGAAACAGCAGATGGAACTCTGGTTCAGGATGAACAACGAATGGCAAAAGCTGTGGAAGAGCTGCAGGATCTCATTGGCAGCTTCCAAAGGATTCGTAGTAGCAATGGTTGTGAATTGGGCTTCTGTTGAGTTAGCCATGGCCAAAATAACTCGTTGGGGAATGGTGCTCTGCTAGCCATCACTCACACGAGGCCACCACCAACTCTTTTGTTCTAGAGCAGCACCTTTAGATTGCTTCCAACATCACACGCATCACTCAACAATCCTGCCAGAGAGTCAGCTTAGAAACTCAGAATCTTGGAGTCCTTGAGTAGAATGGCTCTCCTTGCAAGCTCTGCTTCTTCCCTGCCTTTAACGTAGGCTTGTCTTGCCTTTTCATCGGCTTCGTACCCTTCGAGGAGGGACTTGTATTTCCGTCGTCTGTAATCTTTGTCATGAAAGTAGACAGGCCAATTTGGCAGTGTGCTCTCCAGACCTCCTTCTTCCCGCGTATGACGGCGCTCTATGATTTTTGCTTTGGTGGTGGTATTGTCGGCATTCGACATATTGTACAAGCATCTGTACACAAGCTCCAAATCTTCATTTAGGTCTTCGAGCTTGGATGTGTATGCCGTGTAGTGGGGGTGCCCATACGTCTTGTACTTGAACCTGGTTTGGCCAAAGTCATGAAAGAAGTTGTGGAAGTGATAGGCAGTGTATTCCGTGTGATCTCTTGCTTTGTTTCTGATCATTTCACCTCCACACATTCTGCGAAAGTCAGCAGCGCTGAAGAGTGGGTAATGACCATCGGTGATCTTCTCAAATCCATCCTTGCCGCAGGTCAAGCCATAGCCTTCGTCCCGGATGTATGGGATGGTTCGTGGTACTACTGGGTGAATGGTAGAGTCACCAATCAGTTCTATACAAGCTCCAATAATCATATCTGGATGATGCCACGTTCGCTTGCCTGCAATACAATCCGGTAGGGCTTCAAACACTCGCGCTGCACCAATGATCCGTGCCTTGTTTGGATGGCAGAGATGAGTTTTGTAGTCCAGGAACTCCACATCAGGGCATTGTTGAATGGCAAGCAGAAAGTCTCTGGTAAACGTCTCATCTAGGTCAGCCAAGTAGCCAACATCCTCCTTCGTCATGCCCAGCTCCTTCCATCCCTTTAGTATCTCATCCCGTTGTTCATGTTCACGTTGCAAGTCCAGTACCATTGGATTCTCATTGAAAAATGTTCGTATTTGAACTTTGTCGACTCCAAAGAGCTTTTTTAGTTTCTCTTCTTGACCCTGTCGTTGCAGAGGGCGCTTGACAAAGTGTTGTGTTCGATTGCTCTCCACAAAGACCATTGCTTCAAATAGTCCATAAGTCTCTGCAGCTATGATTTCCAGTGTTTCCTCTGGTTCATCAGCGATCAAACAACCAAAGAAAATCTTTCGATTCGCTGGTCGAATTTCCACATCGTTGGTTCCCTTTTGGAGAAACTTGTATGGTCTACAACGATCATAGGGGTGGACATTGTCGATTCGAAACCGAATGTCCTTGAAGAAGGATTTGGGTTTTTCCGACAGGACTCCAATCGGTACAACCCCTTCCTTGGGAGTGTACGGCATGGGAGTTGGTGCGGGTGTCGGCTTGACGTGGACCTCTATCTCTCTTCTTCTATTCTCCTCTATCACCTTACTAAAACGCGGATTACTCAAGAGATGATCGATCGATTGATTGCGTTTCTTCTCGTTCTTGCCTGAATGTGTGAAGGAGGCATCTTTTTTGAGACTGTCTGGGAGGAGAGAATCAGACAAACGCTTCTGATCCTCATTCTTTGGTGTTTTTTTAATAGAGGAGACAGAGGTTGATGAAATCCTCTCATCCTCAAGCGTTTCTTGGTGGAGTGACAATAATGCCAACGTGTCTTCTGTGCTGGCTTTCCGATAAGAAGGCAAATACAAGTGGTATTGAGATAATAGTGTCACTAACAAGATAATCAGAAACCAAAGCACTGGTAAGCGAACGTGTCTTTGGATTCTATTGCGGGCAGTCACCATGGTCGACAAATAATACATGTACAGATTGGAGTGGACGAAGAGTATGAAATTCTTTACTACTAGCTAGCTAGCGAGATACTATGGGTAGCTTCGTCCACACCAAACTTGAAACCAAAGGCAGTGAAAAGAGGATTTTTTTTCAAAAAGTGAGCGGCTAAATATTTCAAAACATAAGCCAGCGAAGGTTGCACATGATTTTCAATAGGGACAAGGCTATATACCGTGACTAAACAAGTACTCATGATTGAAGTGGAAAGATACGCCACCACCACATGTTGTTAGCATCAAACAATCTTCAGGAAGCAAGCAACAGTGCTACATACGTATGTTTTGACGAAGATACCACCGCAAATCGATCGGACATCGGCTCATCCCTGTGCTGCAACCAACAACATCCATCAAGGCGACGACTGGCGACTCCATCGAATCGTTTTCGCTTTCCCTCTCTTCGTCAGAGCTAGACATCAATAGGCGCACTTTCTTCTCTCCAATTTTCTTAAACCCCACAACATCACCATGAAGTTCTCGCATTTTGCCGTTCTTGCCGTTGTGGCACCCCTTGCTTCGTCTTTCGCTCCAGCCGCCAGACAAAATGTTGCCCGTCTGAGCTCTCTTCAAAAATCGAAGGACGCTTATGATTTGGACTTGAGTGGAATCAGTTTCCCCGAGCCAGAACCTGTCAAGGCAGCACCAGCACCAGCACCAGCACCCAAGGCCAAGAAAGCAAAGAAGGTCAAGGAACCCGAACCTGAACCAGTGCCAGAACCCCCCAAAAAAGAGCCCAAGGCTAAGAAAGCAAAGAAGGCTGCTCCTGCCCCAGTTCCCGATAGGACAGATGCTCTCACTGCCAAAATCGAAAACCTGAAGCCCAGCAAGCCAAGCAAGCCCAGCAAGAAGTCAAAGCCTGCACCTGTAGCTCCTGTTCCCGTCAAGGCAGTTGCCCCTCCACCCAAGCCAGCGCAAAGTGATTCTAGTGCTGTTCCTCTAGGTGTTGTACTTGGAGGAGCACCTCTACTTTTGGCACCCATCGCCGCTCTTGGAGCTGCACGTTCTGTTTTGTCAGGTACACAGGCAAGACGTGCCAAGATTCAAGAGGAAATTGCCGAATTCGAGGCCGCTCAGAAGAAGAAGGAGTTGGATGCCCAGGTTGATAGCAGTGGTGTTGCCCAAGCTCTGGTAGGTGGAATGTTGTGACAAGTATGCATCCATTTTCGATTGACTCGACTCGACTCGACTAAATTCTTTTGATGTTCACCAAACCAACCATTTTTAGGGATACTTGGGAGCCGGTGCTGCAGCATTGGGTCTTATTGTAGCCCCAGGACTTGGATCTATCTCTCTGCCAGATCTTCCCTCTGCCCCATCTGGTTCTTCAGGTTCAGTGGAAAAGGTAGTCGCCGCAAAGAAGGCCCCAACACTCGCATTGCCACGTGAATATGGTGAAGAGAAGGCTATCAAGAAGCGTCTGTCTGTGGCTGAGAAGCGTGAAGCTTCCAAGTCCGCCGCCGAAGCAAGGAAGGAAGCCATTGCCGCCAAGAAAGAGGCCGCCGAAGCTGAAGCTGCTGATAAGGCAGCTGCTGCCGAGGCTGCCAAGGCCGAAAAGGCTGCTGCTAAGGCTGCCGCCAAGGAAGCTGCTGCTGCTGCCAGGGCTGAAAAGGCTGCTGCCGCTGCTCCCACCGTGAGTGCAGAGGAGAAGGCCGCCGCTAGGGCTGCTGCCCAGGAAGCCGCTGCTGCTGCCAAGGCTGAAAAGGCAGCTGCTGCTGAGGCTGCTAAGGCCGAAAGGGCAGCAGCTGCTGAAGCTGCTAAGGCTGAAAAGGCAGCGGCTGATGAAGCTGCCAAGGCTGAAAAGGCTGCTGCCAAGGAAGCTGCTGCAGCTGCGAAGGCCGCCAAGGCTGATGCTCCAGACGTGAGTGCAGAGGAGAAGGCCGCTGCTAAGGCTGCTGCTCAAGAAGCCGCTGCCGCCGCCAAGGCTGAAAAGGCAGCGGCTGCTGAAGCTGCCAAGGCTGAAAAGGCTGCTGCCAAGGAAGCTGCTGCTGCTGCCAAGGCTGAAAAGGTAAGATTACCGCGCGGACTGTTACTCTGTTCTGCTACTGTAGATATCTTTGCTAATCAGGAATGCTCCCATTTCCTACTTTGCACTAGGCTGCCGCACCAAAGGAAGACACTGCTGCAGCTGAAAAGGCCGCCGCCGAAGCCGCAGCTGCCGAGAAGGTACGATTGTTGCTGAACGTACAGAAATCCACTTTTTTCATACGAGCACGGTGCGGTACTGACTTTTTCTGTATTTCCAATTCGCACTCGCACAGGCTGCAGCCGAGAAGGCCGCCGCTGAGAAGGCCGCCGCCGAAGCCGCAGCTGCCGAGAAGGTAAGTTGGGGCAAAAGTTCGTGTATCTTCAATTTCAATATCTGGCGACCATACTTACCACCATGTGTTTTCCTTTGCCATGGAACAGGCTGCCGCCGAGAAGGCTGCCGCTCAGGCTGCTGCCGCCGCTGTAAGTACCGGACGATAGTAACTTGGAACCTCAAACTGCACGCACATGAGCTCACACTTTATGTTTCTTGGACTTTTGTTCTGTAGGCCCCACCAGCAAAATCTAGTGGAGGAGCCCTCGGTGTAGTGTCAGACTCCGCTTCTGGAGGCAAGGTTTTGCCAAAGGATGAAGTCAGCGATGATGTCAAGGCATTCTTGAAGGTATGTGCTTCCCTTTTTGTTGTGGGTGTGAGCAAATGAATTTTTGCATGGTTTTTGCTCACCATTATTTCGCTCGTTGCCCTGCCTTCTCTGAAGACTTTGAACAAATAAGCTTGAAATTGTAGACTAGCGACTTCATACTGCCCTACTAACTACGTAAAGTCTACTTGCCGCTATATAAATCTTCCACCCGTTGAAGACTTGAATCGCAAAAGCCACTGAGAGAATCAACCAAAAGGTGTAATCTTTCCTTTTGTGGCAGACTGAACTTGGGGGAGGGAGATCCATCAATCAACCCACTAATCGATCACACCTAAAATAGTTTTTCCACAGTACTCTTGAGTGATGCAATGCAGTGCAATGATGATGTTAAACATTCTTGTTGCAATGTTGCATCTTTCCGTCCCTTTGATTCCGTGGATGGCAAACTTCTTTGCAATGCCTTGGCAACTGTCAATCCACACAAACCGAATAATCCTATTCCCTAACTTGACTAATGTTCTATACCAAGACACCACTCTCAATTGGCCTGGGTAAAGCTGCCACTAATTCATGTCTAGGTGGATCTAGCAAATTCAAGACATTTGGCCCTTGTGTTGGTTCCCAGTTTGTTGCGCCTGATCCCACGGAAACTGGCCAGTCCTGAATTCAACCTTTTCTTTTCCTATACTGGCCCTCTGCCAGCTTCCATAGTACTAGTACGGTAGGAAACTCCCCCACTCTACCTACTAGTGCGGCCGTACGGTAGCGTACAGTAGGGTGGCTGGGTGTACCGGTACGGTAGCGGTCACCATGTCCTCTGAAGTTTCGCAGCTATGCTGGCTTTGCTAGGCTGTCTTGTTCCTTTCCGACCACTTCCACTTTCCATCATCATCTCCGCACTCATTGCTGTTGTGGACGGATCAACCCAATTCAACTTTCACGCTCTATCCAATACCCAACAATGAGAGAGCCCCAGCAAGTTGATGAGTGTAATGGCCGTATCCTGACACAAGCGAGGGGATATAGACGCCAAAGACCAAGCAAAAGGAAGAGTCGTCCATTATGGTCAGCATTGGTTTTCGGTCTGACCAGCTATTACCGGTACTGTTTTCTCTCTTCGGCGGTGGCCATGGCCAATGACAAACTTCCAGATGTTTTTTTGGACGAATCCTCTGTGGTTCTCATTACTGGCATGGCTGGATTTATCGGATCCGAGTTGGCAATGGCTCTCCATCGGGTCTATGCTCCCAAGAAGATCATTGGCGTGGACTCGATGGACGATGGTTTTGGCAACGACCAAGGCCGCACTGCCGAAGAATTGGGAGTCTTTGATTACAAGAGACAACGCTTGTTTCATGTCCTCCAAACAATAGGAGATCGCTGCCATTTTTATCGTGTGGACTTTCGTCCCAACATTCCAGAATATCAGGACCGAGGCGAAGTGCCAGTGCTGGACCACATTTTTGCGTCTCATCCCGACATTACACATGTGGTGCATTTGGCAGACCCCTACGGGAATCCGTCTCTATTAGAAGAAGGACACGACAAGACAAAGCTGACAACGCAAGCAATCCCACGGAAGAAGGAACAAATCAAGGCGGGAATGATGGAAGCCTTGCTAGAGCAGCTCCGCAAGGCTGGGAAATTACATCCCAAAGGAAGCATCCCTCATTTCACCTATGCTTCTTCGGCTCATGTCTACAGCCACTACAATCTAGAAACTGATGATTTCGCCAAAAACCCCAATCCACCTCCGTTTGCGGAAGAAAGACCCATCGTCACACCGGCTAGCATCCATGGAGCAGCCAAATTGACGGACGAAATTCTCGCCAAAGCATACCATGAAACCAGAGGAATTTACTCGGCGGGACTTCGATTCTTTGAGGTATATGGGCCCTGGAGTTCTCCGGGAACCTTTCTCTTTGACCTGGCGGAACGAGCCGTCCGAGGAGGTGATTTTGTCACGGAGGAAGACCTTCAGATTTTGGACACGGTCACACGTGACTATGTTTACATTGATGATGCCGTCGATGCCATTTTAGCAGCCATGCAATTCAAACCGACCACTGGAAACAAAGACGAACCGCCACCAGTGGTCATTAATGTGGGCACGGGAAAGGGAACGACAGTGCGAACCATTCTACAGATTATGCAGCGATACCTCATGAGCACCGTCTCGTCCAGGTTGCCGCCGCCTTCTGCTGTTGCGGCGGGGAAAAGGAAGCAATCTGTGTCCTTTGCATCCACGCAACGGACAGAGGAATTGCTAGGATTCAAGCCGCAAGTGACATTGGAAAAGGGCATCTTTCATCTGCTGGCTTGGCACCATGATCGGGCATTCCCCTATGGATCTCTCGACGAGCCTACCAAAAATTTGCCGCAACATCCCATGGAAAAACAAGGAATGGTCGCTTGTTCGCCCTTTGACGTGGAATGTTTAAAGGGGGCCCCTGTATTTCCATGTGCCTCGGAATGCTCTCACCGCCATCAGTGTACAAAATCCTTTTATGACAATGTCTTGGGGACGACTCGAGCGTGGACAGCTCCTTGTGAGGCAGTTCTCTACACTGTGATTTTGGATAGCGACCTTACCAGAATTCCTTCTGCCACCGTGGCTGTCTCGACAACATCACAATCTCATGTGGAGAGCGACCAAGGACATTGCAACCTGGCATTTGTCTCTTCCAACAGTCCATTGGTAAAGAATCTGCAAGCTCAAGTCGAAGGCATGTCTGGTCCTTTGCAACATGGTTTCTGGAGTCTTGTCTTGGTGGATGTCAACGAGGAAGAGAATGACTACTTTTTGGAATTCTTGCCTAAGCTGTCCCCAGGCCTCTTCTTTGGTGGCGACACGACCAAGCGCATCATCTACGTCGATCCCGATGTCATTATTGAAAGCATCCCAGATTTGATATCCGAGGCTTCCATGCAACCAAAGTATCAAGCTGATGATGATCAAAAAGGAGGAAGCAGTGGAGATGCCAACAAACAAGGCGCCACCGCCATGCTGATTGGAAAGGGACGCCAGCAAAGCAGTCGAAAAGGTATCACCCCCTTGCGGGAGGCGATTCAAGACAGTGCTTATCGGTCAGTCCGCATTGGTGTAATCGACAAAATGTCCCCCGGGGATGGGTTTGCCTTGCCGTTGGACTCTTCCTTCATTGTCCACACGCTTCAAAGCGAAGACAGTCGACTCTTTCGATGTGATGTCTTTGGAGAACTCATTCAATGGGGAGTCGGAACGGATCAGTCAGCGTTTGAGTTCATCTTGGAGCTACACGACATGTGGAGCAGCGTGATTGTGAAGAAAGCTGGGTTGGAACCCTGGTAAGAATTTCCTACAGGAGAACGCGAATCCAAGAAAGTCCGCCTGGAACTTACACTTTTTTGTCCATGCTCAGGTGGGTTGGAGAGGGAGTTGTCACCATTCCTGAGCGACCTTCTTTCTCGCACCAGATCGCGAGCTCTCAAACGAGACGTCTGCTGGAAGCTCTGACGGATGAAGGGGGCGCCTTTGCATCCGATGCGGCGAGGAAGACGGGGAGAGGAGCACAACTTGTGCAAGTAGTCGGAGGTGGTCAAGGCTCAGCTGGAAACGGGGTACAGGAGACGGATGCTGTTGACCAGAAGAATCCAGAGGGCCAAGATCCCCGCCAACCCAGTGCGAATGACGAATCGCCAAACGCAAAACGCGACGGAATTTTTGGAAACGATGACCACGTAGCCGAACCGGGGCCAGGCGACAGCGTTGAGGTGATTGCCGCACGCAACAATGAAGACAGAGACGATGATGCTGTGGTCGATGACGACGCAAATGAAGAGGAAGACGGCGACATTCATTCAAGAGCGGAAGTGCAAGATAAGAAGCGAGATGTCTCTGCCTACGACACATGGATGGGAGTTCTATCATCGACATCGCTGCAATATTTCGTCAGGATTGTTGAAACAGGAAGCGAGGGAGGTATAGGCGTGGTGGTGTTGGATGATTACGACTTCTAGATAATGAATGCTGGAGAGACTGCTCATGGTTCTCTTATTTCTCGTATTAACACTCTTTTGTGGTTCAGAACGCGTGGGCATATCTACAAGTATGTACAGGTGCCTCCGCATTTCTTCGACTTGTTTCTCCGTGACTTGACAGCTTTTCGGTGCCATCTTTGTACATTTTGTCGTCGAAGGTGGAACGACAATTAGCGCGCACCTTGGTCGTCGTAGTCAATTGCATCCGCCAAAGCTTCATTTGCTCTGCTAATAGCCTCTTTGGCGCTCCCTGGGAGGATTGCGGATTGTTCCGTTCGGTAGGCCGCACGCCGAAGCAGTCCAGCCCCAACACGACGGCTTAAGGCCGCAATGCCTGGTAGCTGTTCAGTCACTGTCGCTCTGGTTTCTTCGTCGCGTAGCAAACCGGTCAATGCTTCGACATTGTCGCCTCCGTCACTGGATCTCTTAGAGATGACATCTGTCAGTTCCTGTGCAGTCGAAAGGATGCGTTCATCCTCGGCACTGGAACGCAGAAGAACATCCACCAGTTCGGGAAGCTCAGCCGGTCTGTCGAAGAGCGCTGCTTTGAGAGGGCCCGGGACTAAATTGCTTGCTGGGGAATTCCTCAGCAACTCCTTTGGAGTCTTTAGAGCGGTCGCAGCGGCCTTCGCAACGGTGCTGTCTACAAGAGCAGCTCGAAGGGCAGAGACTACGGCGGCGTCCCCGAGTTTTGCAGTTTCATCGACAAGAATGTCTTGTAGTGTTGACCCCTTTGGATCCAACAGAAGCTTTGTGAACTCTGCTACAGCTGCAGCTTGTCCAGCTCCGTCTCGGTCAACATCAGCCGTGGCTGCGGTGTACGAAGCAAACCCTTCGCTCATTTCAACCAGTTTGCTCGGAGAAAGACTGCTACTCCTGCTCGCACCAGTAGACGATAGATCCTCTCCTCGTGCTCCAGCCTGGACAATGGCAAGTGTAGATGCGTCCTCCTTAACAGCATTTTCGGACAGACCAAGCATGGCGCGGAGGGCGCTCTTAGCTCGGGGGCTTCGGTCAGTGAAGAGCCGACGTGAAAGGTAGGGATAACATTCCTGCAGAATCCCATAGTTTTCGTCAACGCTCAACCCAATTCCTTCGAGTGTGCTAAATGCACGGGCAACATACAAAACGTACGGTGGCAGCGCAAAGAGCTCTCTGTTCCTGCGAGACATTTCCTCCATGACGTTCGTAACTCCCTTCACGTCTACTCCTTCGGAGGCCAACTGCGCTTCCATACGCTCCAGCATTTCTGCTCGCGCTGCTTGCTGTAGCTCCTTGTCGGAAAGGTCTGAGCCGTAACGTTCTTGGAACTCTTGCTTGACACGTTCTTGGATCTTTTTGGGCCCTCCGCCCTCGCTAAGCTGTCGAAATGCAAACGTAAGTCCTTCTGTGATGCCACTGTCCTTGAGTCTATCCGCTGTGACGCCCTCTGGTGAGAATCCAAGGTTGATAAAGTCCTGAGGAATTGCGTCGTAGTCCTCAGTGTTGACGTGAGCGATGAATTCCAGGAGGCTGTATTGAAGGTCCTTCGGAACTTCCAACGTCATTCCATGGTCCAAGATACACAATTTTCCATCCATTGTACGCAGCAAGTTTCCAGGCTTTCGCAGCAAACAAAAAAAGAGGCCGTCAGGAATGCCCACCAATATCAATGGATCGAGTACGTTTCTCAAGAATCAACTACTCACGTGTGGATCACAGTGCAGCACTCCAGTGTCTAACAGCATGGTCAGATAAGCGTTGATGGCAACACCACAGAGCCGGGGAACATCTGGTGATGCATCTCTATCCAATCTTGTTCCTTCAACCCATTCGGTCACCAACAATTTGTTGCGTGTCATCGTGTCAACCACCCGAGGGGCGCAAACCGCATTGAGGCCTCTGTTTTCCATGGCCTTGCCAAAGTCAATCGTGTTCTTAGCTTCCAAGAGGTAATCGGTTTCCGCGACAAAGCCACGACCCCATTCATCGATGAGCAAAATTGCGTTGTCGATGTCTACTTGGCTAGTCTTTAGTCCGTTGGCGGCGTTTTGGAGGATCGTTTGAATGGGCGAAAGAACCCTCAAAACGTGTAGATCCAGCGCAATTTCTGCTAGAATCCCTGGCCGCTGGACTTTGACAGCTACATCTTTTCCATTGGTTGCCAAGGTCCCCCTGTAGACTTGTCCAATAGATGCAGAAGCCACTGGCTCTGAAGACAAAGTTGAGAAGACTTCCGAAACATCCCTGATTCCAAGCTCATCGCAGATGACTCGTCGGGCTTCATCACTATCAAAGGGTGGCACAGCATCTTGTAGCTTTCGTAATTCCAAGGCATACGCCTCTGGTATAAGATCAGTTCGAATCGACAAGGCTTGACCCAACTTAATGAAGGTTGGGCCAAGCTTTTCACAAAGGGACAGAGCGACCTTGGCTCGACGAGGTTCAGCTCGTTTCAAAGCAGTGTACTCTTCATCGCGAAAAAGTTTGCCCAAAATCAGCCAATCAAAAAGGACTCCCGTGTTGAAGGCTCCCGTCAACAAGGCAAGACGCAAAATTCGTTTGGCCACCAGCAGCGGACGCCTTCCATAATACTCAGCGGCAGCTTCGGGAGAGTAGGTGGTAGTGCCAGGTTCGTACGGTGCCTCCATTTCATTGTCGGGTGAATTGAGCCATAACAAAAAGGCATTGCCAGCCGCAAAAGCTGCAATAAGTTCCAAGTACCATGGTACAGTGACAGCCGACGACAAGGAAGCAGAAAGTTCTGGGTCAATAACTCCGTTCAAATTGACAGATGCAGCCAAGCTGGCCAGTTGTTGACTCAATTCAGGAAACTGCAATGCCGATGGAAGGGAAACCGAGCTGTCAACTGTGGCAGAAGCATCCACAAGCCAAGATGGAACATCGAAGCTAACACTTGATGGCAACAGCGATTTCGCGGTCTTCTTGGCTGCTCTTCTCGATGCAGGCACAAAGGCGGTAGATCCCTGCAGGAGCAGACATGTGAAGACGACCCCAGAAAGTAGAAAGCGCATCGTACTGTTCACAGAATCTTTAAAAATGATCCCTCATGTTGCTTTTTGCCACTGCGATATGGCTTGGTTGGCCAGCCATTCAAGTGACCGCTGTTGTGTCAGAGTCGCCGTGGCCTTGTTTTGCGTTCTGCGTCATTGCTCGGCTGTGTCTGTCCCGAACAAACGTTTGCAGTAGAAATGGGGTTAAGATGTAAATAAACCTGCTTAGCTAGCTAGCTGGTTGTACTGTTCCGTACAGGGACTGGAGCCAGGAACCAGAGGACAGGATTTCCATTGCAATGGTGCTACGGCTGTACCGGTACCGATACCCAGTGGTAATGCAAGAAAGTCAGCAGTGGACAAAGCATTGATGGGAAGCTGATGGGAGGAGGAAGTACAGTCGTACCAGGTACGCAACAAAGGAGGTTGCTGGATACACCTGCTCAGAGCTTGCCAATGCATTCAGTGCCGACTTCAAAATACGATACATCGATTACTGCTGAAGGTTTCTATTTGGGGTTCCTAAAAACATAGATTCTACCTGCCCTTTTGAGTAGAGGATGTGGCCACATTTTACTTTCAGACGCAACTGCGTAACGTAGATGTGATCATGGTTGAGATTTGCTTCTGCTGTTCAGTCATAGAGTCTACTAGAACTCAAAGGGCAACATCCCATCGAGCGACGTTTTCAATCTGAAGGACAGGCGTGGCTACAATTTGCCTAGTCAGCTTGGATGTACCGGTAAGAACAAGAAGCTAGAGTGCATCTTGGCTAGTTAGTACCAGGTAGAGGGACAGCTACAGTTCCCTCGCCTTTCGGGTTGATTGAAGATTCGATTGAATCATTCAATTCGATTCAATTGCTTCATTCGCTTCTTCCACTTGGCGGAACCTTACAATTTGCACGATCCCTCTATGGTTAATAGCTAGCTAGTCTTGTATCTCTGCATATTACTCCACATCTACTAACGGTATTGCACAACTGTGTGCACACATACATGCAGGTGTTGGTACCCTACAGTACGGCGGTACCGTACCACACAAGGGGAGCCTGGCAGCTGACTATTCCGAGATGCAGTTTCCACGATGCGCAAGCCGTCCAATGGCGAAAATGGCGTGGGAGTGACAATCCACCCACGCAGAGCACCAAACCGTTGGGTGCAAAATACTCACAATTTTTGCAGGACGGTTGAGCTCCAACCCAACAAAAAAGGGAGACTTGGTGAGAAACAACAGCAATCAAAAGAGAGTCTAGGAAGAAGATCGCCGCCCCAAGTTACAGACAATATAGGTACCGTAGCAGACATCAAAGAGGCAGTACACCATGGTGAGCAAAAATGATCGTCTCCCGAGGCGAACGAGTAGGAAGGCGCCAGCTGCGGCCGCTGCTACCAATCCCTTTGACAGCGACTTTAGCGCATCGGAGGCATCCAGGCAGTCACGAGGGGTCGTCTTTGATCTAGACACCATTGCAGCGAGTCGCCGAGCTATGATTAGCGGAAAGAAACCAGCACCCAGAGCAAAGCGACCCTCGCATACGTCGACGTCTCAACCGCGAAGAAGCAGCAACACACGATCACATTCGCAGTCACAATCCAGGAATAGAACGTCAAGGAAGGTTGCAAATCCGAGGAGGGCGGAGTCTGCGGACATTGAAATGGGAAACGACAGAGAAATTCGTGAAAGGATCCGCACAAAGGAAACACAGGACGAAAGCGAGCAGGGATTTGACATCGATAACCCAATTACTATTGAAGATAGGGTGAAACCCACTTACGTGGATGAACAAGCCAGTGAAAGCGAGATTGGGAGTAGCAGCAGCAGCAGTCAGAGCGACAGTGACGATAGCTCCAGCGAGGATAGCGACGACAGCAGCTATGGCAGTTTCGAGGACAAGCAGAAACTGCGAAAGCCTTATGTGTTCGCTGTTTTGGGAATGGTATCCATCATGTTATTGGTGGGGATCATTGCTCTATCTGTTGTGGTGTTTGGAGGAGATAATGGAGAGGACAAGTCTCCTTTGTTGCCCATCCTTACAGCAAGACAAGAAGCACTGCATAACATAATTCAAGCAATCGTGGACGAGGACATGTTGACCGACTCTGAAACCCCCCAATACCGAGCTCATCAATGGATTCTCTACGAGGACCCTCTGGGGCTAGCTCCTGCAAGTGGGGCTTCAAAGGAACGAATCATTCAGCGGTACGTTTTGGCAGTGTTCTACTTCGCTACCGGAGGCGGAGAAAAATGGAAGACAAACAATTGGATGATTGGGGATGAATGCGTCGATGAATGGGATGGCATAGGTTGCACAGATGACGGAGTAGTTCACGTGGTGACACTAAGTAAGTACCCTACTAGTAGAAGGTTTTCGCTTGACGCAATCATGACGCGCTGCTCAGCTTGCTCTTGTTTCTTGTTGTGTGTGAAGATAACTTTGGGCTTGCTGGCTTCATACCAGAAGAGCTCAGTCACCTCTCTGTCCTAGAACACCTCATCCTGAAAAACAATGCTGAACTTGTTGGTTCTCTGCCCACCAAGTTGGGAAAGCTGCAATCGCTTCGACAATTGGGCGTCTACAACAACAACATCGAGGGAACCATTCCAGACCAGCTCTTTGAAGCCACTAATCTCAAGTTCATCAATTTACAGAACAACGATTTGACGGGAACGTTATCAGCCAACATTGAATCAATGGCCCGTCTCGAGACACTCGTATTGATGAACAATAGACTGACCGGGGAAATTCCGTTTGGAGGCCTTAGTTCCACCAAAATCAAGTTCCTTGGCTTGAGTCACAACAAGCTCTCAGGAACAATAGGACCCATGATTGGCGTCTTAGACAAGCTTGAATACTTGTATTTGGATGGAAACAGCTTCCAGGGTCGTCTGCCAAGCACGATCTCTCAGCTGACTAGTTTGAGTGAGTACAGATGTGACATTCCTGCGAAATGCATTTGCCCCTTGAACTAACCATTATCCTGTTCTTTTCCTAATGCTGTACAGAGTCATTGAATCTTGATGAGAACGACTTTGATGGTTTGGTTCCTACCGAGTTTGGAGAACTCACTGACCTAGAGTTTCTCTCGCTTCAAACCAATGGGTTCGAAGGATCAATTCCATCTGAGATGGCCTTGATGACATCACTGCGTAAGTAGAGCTAAGCTACAGCTGGAGAATCTCCTTGGTTTGCGCAACAGACCCGATGCTAAGTCCTTCCATTTCTTGCACTTTAGACAACGTCAATCTTGCCCAAAACGCACTCACTGGAAAGATCCCCGACCTATCATCCTTGAAAGAGCTGCGCAATCTGTTGCTCTACAATAATAAGCTGAGCGGAGAGATTCCCAAGACCCTCTTCACCCTCAACAAACTTGGTAAGAAGATTGTTGACAGACTGCGCTTGATTGATTGACAAATTTGTTTGCTGAACTTTTGCATCCTCCTTCGAAGAAATCTTGTTCCTCAGCTCGAACCAAATAACGAGCACTGTACCAGCTGAAATAGCGCAGTTGAAGGGAAAGCTGCGAGGGTTGTACTTGTCAGACAACGAGCTGGTGGGAACCATTCCAGAGGCTCTCTGTGAACTGCAAAACCTTGGTGAGAGAGAACACACAGTTGTGTTGTCGTTTTCCTTTGTCATACTCTGCACTTTTCATCTCACACGGCTTTGTCACTGGATACAGAGGCCCTATTGATTGACGAGAACAGCTTTCAAGGGACAGTTCCGGCCTGTTTTGGTGATCTCCAACAACTACGGCAGCTCTACCTATTCAGAAATCGATTGACAGGGGAGTTACCTAGAGAGTTGACAGAACTGAGTTGGCTGAGTAAGTTCTCCTGCCGTTGTCAGACATTCGCGCCCAAAGCCTGATCCTAATGTACTGCTGCCCGGATTTTGACAGCTGGACTAGGTCTAGAAGAGAATGACTTCAGGGGCTCTGTTCCGCTGGAGATTTGCTCTATCAAAGAACAGAATGAAAACTTTGACCTCTGGGCTGATTGCGGTGGCAGCTTCCCAGACCTCTTGTGTCCATGCTGCAGTGTTTGCTGCCCGTCTTTGGATTGTCAATGAGACACTTCCTATAGTCGCCGTTGAGTGAATGCAGACTGAGAGGTTCCTATTCTTTGAACCCAAGAAAAGAGGGGGGGTGCACAACTCCTACCGTACAAACTGTGTGAACTAGTACTTCTATTGACCATAGATAATCTCTATGCTCCTTTGTAGTGGGGGTCCAAAACTTAGAATTTAGTACCGTATGCGTTGGGGAAAACATTCAAGGCCAGAGACTTTTGTTAGGGTGTGAAAGGATCAAATATTCAGTAAGGTGCTTTTCAATTATCTCATTGGCGACTTGGCATTGTGTTGATGGAACTGTTCTTGTGACAAAACCTGTGACATTTGAGCTGGTTGGTGGTGGCAGCTTTCCAGGCTTTCTGCCCATACTGCAGTGTGCCCTCCTTTGCTGCTTTGATGAACACAGAGAATAGAGAAGACAATCAGGGGTTGCTAACTAGGTCGGTGGCATGAACGTCAGGTAATCATTGCATTACTTCTATTGGCCCAAGAAAAACTTCAATTGCATCTCGTGTTGTTGAAGACAAATATAAAGCTCCTGTGAAGTAACTATATTATTGGTATGTTTCCTCAAAACATCAAAAATGAAGGTGCGTTGTTGGCGAGCATGGATTGGTGTCGATATCTTTTAAAACAAAATGCGTCATTGGTGAGCTTGGCAGGTGTTGATATCTTTAAAACTTTCGTCGAATTGCAGAGGGGCTCTCTTGTCTTCCGTCGCTGAATCCAAGCATTTGTGGCCTATTGTCCTGATATGAAAAACCACGGCTTTCCTTTGTTCTGTTTGTGGATAAGGCGGAAGAAAGTGGAATGCCAAATCTGAGGGAGTCATGTCTTCTCGTCATGCGACCATCAAGAGCAATGCACATCTTCAGGCACTTACGTCAACCAACATGTCGTCCCAATCATTCGCCCATTCAGGGATGATGCCTTGATTCTGGGACGTCGCCATACTTCGAGTTGCCGCCGACGTTCCTGATTGCTTGTTCATCATTCGCGAAGTAGCCGTTGCTTGTGTGATTCCAACACGGCGATATGCGTTCCAAAAGGCACCCCAACCAGTCATATTGGTTCTCAGATACGTTTCTTGTTGATGAAAGCTTGGCTGGAAAGTAGATTGAGTTTCTGTTGCTTTTAATCCTGTTTTATGGTCGCCAACGAATGAGTGGGCAAAGCTAACGAGCCTTCGCTTCCCGAACCCGAAAACGAGAACTCCCACCAAAGATTCTCACTTTCCTTCGATTTTGGACACGACAACCATGTAATCCCAGCCAGGTACATGTAGACGACTTCCATCAAAAGGCTGACAATAGGAAGGGAGCAAAGATCCATGCAACTCTGAGCTTCGTCTGCCTAAGCTAGCTAGGTAGCTGGCCTGCCTGGAAGCGTTGCTGTCAGGTCACGTGCAGGTAGCAACTGAAGCAATGACGAGCATTTTAGCACAAGTAATAAAGGAGCACCCAAAGGTACGACTCCACGACTTTCGGGAATTTTCGCGTTGCGTTTAGTTTATCGTTCTACATGTAGTATGAGCTGCCAGATAGCTGTCCTTCAAGTGAATAATCGTCCTCTTGCAACAGCGGTAGCAGCGTTGAATCTCCGGTTCTCACGGGGTGTACCGGTACACAAGGAGGCTGGTTTCAAGCTAAGATGAACTAATGAATGAACAAATGAATGTCCTCATGCACACATGCATGTATCTCTAGAATGGCGGAAGCAGTGTTGGCTCTCCATAGGGCTGTACCGGTACACAAGGGAGCACAGAAATCAAGGGGGGAAATGAATCACATCTGGAAGAAGTTAGACTCATGCAAAACGAAGGCAACGCTCATTCGATGTATCGCAATAAGGCTTACATCTAGCAACATAAAGTCCCAAGTTTCGAAGGGCGGCTGCTTTTTAGGAAACTGCTTGGCCTCGGGTTGCGTCGAAACTGCTCTGTTGGCGACTCGCTGCTGTTGCTGCATCCCACCTCGTCGAGTAGCTGCCGCTGTTTTATCCGTGACGCCTCGTCGCATTGCAAGGAAGAAAGCTCCCCAAGTCATGGTCTGGTTTCTGGTTCAATCAAATGGATAGAGTATCGTCTTGTTTCTTTGTTGTCTATTTTTTATGGGCCTCGGTAAGGGAGAGGCGAGATGTGCAGGTGCGAAGCAGAGCTTCTGAATTCTGAAGCCGAGCTTCGCAAGGGCACGCTGGACGAGAACAATCCACTTGCAGCGGCTCTGTGCCTGAAGTCTGGCAATCCCATGATCGTCATGATGCTGTCATCAGCTCGTCACCAGTACGACCATGCATCAATGAGGCAGGACAGCGGGTCTGCTGTATGTACCGGTACAGCTTTTGCACATAGCTACCAGCTAGATAGTAAGTACAAGCTCAAAGGGCTACTACTAGAAGAAAACACCAAGTAATCCAGGATTTTCCACCTCTTGATAACTGTGATACCTGATACCTTATGGATGTATTCGTCACTTCTGGTTTGTGTTTGTGTTGACAAAGTGTTAGCTTACAGGTCAAGCCCTAGCAAGAGGCTTGCATATACCGTTTTCAAATCTAAAAACAAGAGGTCCCTCCGGGTGCGCCAACCCACGTAAACTTGTATTGCTTGGGAAAGCAAAGCCAAATTTACAAATTTTACTTCTCTTGGGGTATGTATGGATACCAGCCTTTTTGGCAACATGGCTGAAGTCAGGTCCAGTTTTTATTGAAAGATAGGTTCAGCTACCCTTCCTTCTCGAATCTGTCCAGCTCGGATCCTGTTCTTGTACTCCTCCAGTGGTGGCCGATGCAAGTTTACATTGTTGACATTGTCTAGCTTACTGGACAGTCTCAAATCTGTCTAGCCCAGATCCTGTTCTTGAAATCCTCCAGTAGTTGCCGATGCAAATTGCAAATTGACATACAGCTCACATGCAAGGAAGGCGCCCTTGATTTGGAGCTTGGTGAAGCCCTCGATGTTGACCTCGACAGTTTGGACCATCTGTTGTATTTGCATCAGATACAACAAACAGGGCAAGGTCAACAACAAACGTTTCATTGCACAGGAGTGGAAGATATGCTTGAAGACTGTATGGACATGTATGTGCTACTTTGACAGCTGCAGTTCAATCCGATCTGTGGCCAATACAGCCATCCGTCTCG